CATCCAGAATTAAATCATTGCTACCAGGGTGGTGTCCACTCAATTATTCTTCCTGCTGCCATACCAGCTGCTGTAGGAGTAATAAAAAATCATCTTCTTATTTAAATGCTGAAATGTGCGCTTGCAGGACATTCAGAGGTTAACTGTAAAGAGTTTACACAGCCTCTGATCAGAAAATGATGGGAAAGTCAGGCAGAGAAATCACTGAGTAAAATAGCATCAAAAGCAGTAGAAATGGAAAGGAGCTGAGAAGGCGAAATCATGTCCTTCCTCTGGGAGGACAGTGGCACAGTTCCTTCTTCCTCTCCATTGTCTCCAGGAAAGAACTACTAATTTTGCTTGGTTTTAAAACACAGAAACGAAAAGAAGATGAGAACTGGGTCACTAATGATGTTTAAGCATTGTTAAATTGTAATGCAGAAGGCTGAGGATAGAGGTGTTGCTGCTACAGGTGTTACTGATAAGGGAGCACTGGAGAAGGGGAGGGATGGCCCGAGGTGGATGTGTAGGCTGAGTGTATTGTCTGAAAAGCTTGACTTCAGCAGCACTGGGCTAGTTGAACTGGCTTAGTCTGATACACGGGTGGATGAGGGGTGTGCAGGAATTTGGAACTGGAACAGTTTGTCACTGAGCTGTGTTACTGCCCCTCTGCTTCAGGAGAGGTGTAGTGGTGTGATAGAATCAGTTTGTGAGGGACTTAAAACAAATGTCCAAGCAGAAGGAGAGCAAAGCCCTTGAGTTGGCTGTGGAGGCTGCAGGGTCTCCTTTGTTATGTCCTTTGAAAGGAGCTGAGCAAACACTTTGGAGATGGCATTATGTCTCAGAGATGGAGAGCTGATCTAAGCAAAGAACAACAAAGTGACTGTCAGTAATTTCAGCATTAGAGCTGTTTGGTCAGTTTAGTGAAAATCTTTAAAATGGGGTCTGGCTAAAACTTTGGAGGTTCTTACAAGAGGTATCCACTGTCCTTACTTAGTTCTTGAAATTGTATTTTGTATAGCAAACAAATGACATTTTGGCAGCTTCTGTTACCTTTTGATGGAGCACTGGCCAGGGAGCAGTCAAGAGGAAAATGTCTGCCCATACATATTTCAAGGCTATGAGTTGGCAGGGAGCTAAAGCAGCTTCTCAGGTGATGGTCACCCCATCCACGTAAAACAAGGTTATTGTGTTCTGTTGAGTGGATACCAAACAGGAATGAAAATGTTAAATCACTGTTGTTTGGGCTTCATTCCATCCTTTGGACTTGTGTCTAAGGTCAGAGATTAGCATCTCCTTCCTTCTATCTGCAGCAGGGCAGGGGATGCTCTGATTTTGTGCAAAGGCTTCTGATAGGCAGCCAGATGCTTTTTGCCTTGAAACATTTTGAACTCTCTCCAAATGCTTAAGATCCAAAAAGGCCTGGAGCCTGCACATCCTCTGCAAGGCAAGATGTGGCTGTTAAAATGGTAGTGACTGTTTATGGTGAGCATGTGATTAAGTTGCATTTTAAAAGCTCCTGTTTAATATTTTTTCCTTTTCCATATAAGATTTTGTGTGTGTATTTTTCGAGAGAACATGCACTTGTAAGGAGACAGAAAGTTCCTTTCAAGGTGAGCTTACATGAATGATAATTGAAGTTACCTTCTCTGCTTTACTGGAAGATGATGGCTTAGGTAGGTGCAGTCATGATTAAAGTGTTGTACTTAACATTCCCAAGGGAATTCTGTTTGACTGATTCCATTTGTTCCTCCTTGGCTACATTCAAGAGAAACTGCGAACCCATCATTTGGAGGAGTTGAGGCTCAATCTCTGAGCTATATATAGAAACATTTGGTGTTGTGGTGGTCCTGAGAAATGAGAAATTGTGGATGTTTGAAGGGTGGAATGCATTGCACAATCCACACCACACAAAGCCTCTGTTGCTGACAGGTTGGACATTCGGTGTTCCAGGCCAGTCCTGCTGCCAAAGAGGAGGTGTGGCACCATCACCCCTGGACACTGCAGTGTCCCTTTAGTGTTCTGTCATCCTTCCCAAATGCTGTGCACGTTCCCAGGGGACTTTGCCAAGCTCTGCATTGCACAGTTCTGTCTGTGTAAGAACATAGCAAGCCTTTTTTTGTTTGTTTGGAGACAAAGGGGAAGAGGGAAAAACCATAGTGACATAACTTTGTGCTGTGTATGCAGTCACAGCGTTCTTCCCACACTGGTGTCATTTATCTGCTGACATCCAGCCACAGCCTGGTAGATTTGGGAGCTTTCCCACCAATTTCCATGGTGGGAGGTGGATATTTTTCTTCTGGGCTGTACAGGGCACCACTGACATCTGCATTTGCTGTTTCTTTTGTGGTGTTTGACCTCCTTGTTTCAGCGAGGCTGCGATGAAATCAGCTTAGTGCAATCCCAGGACTATGGGACATAGCAAATCTGTGTCTCTGTGTAGTGACTGTCTGTGCAAGAGACCTTTCCTTTCCCTGGTTTGACAGTGCATGGTTCTGGCTGTTTCCCAGAGCACAGGGGGCAGACCTCACAGTGCTGGCAGTGCTGTGTAAAATGGCTTGAGCAGGTGGGTGGGTTTGGAACTGGATCTGCTGCCCACACATCCATGGAGGCTGTGGCTTCACCTCGCTGGCCTTCCCTTTCCCTTGAAGGGAAGGAGAGGGGACAGCAGACACCCAGGCTGCTGTGAGGGGGAGAAGGACAGAAAGGCTGCAGAGGGTTGTGGGAAACTCCTTAGTGCAGAGGGGATGCAGCTAAAATTCATTGTGGGTTGATTTAATTGATCTCACTGATTAACTTACTGCTGCTGCAGAGAAGATGATGCTCTGATGCTGGTAGTTCTTATTTTCTTCCTAAGCCTATAACACTCACTTGCCTCTGATTACATTTGTTTTCTTCAGAGCAGGTAATTCTGGTGTGATCTTTCAGATGCAGAAGATCAAAGCGAAAAAGCAATTGAGGAGATTAATAGTGAGAGCCTTGTTCTGCTTTTTTTTTTTTTAACATTTAGGAAGTAGTTTTTAATGAACATGTTTATTTCCAAGGACTGAGCTATGAACAGTTACTGTCTGTTGCTGGTGATGAAATATTTTCCTATTCAGGCAAGTATTTTCCTGTTCAGAGTATGGTTACAGGTGTAAAGCCACCATTAATACCCATTGTAAGAACAGGAGCTGTGGGCTATTGTGTGGAGGCTCTTCTTTCACCTACTATGACAGCTTAGGGTTTCTTTTGGAAAATACATTCCTCGATTAGGAATCCCTTCTGAGCCTCAGTGTCCTGCACAGTCAGAGCTCCAGCTGTGGCTTTATCCTGCTGTCATGCTCGGTCGATCAGAGCAGGATGAACACTGAAGGAATGGGATGATTCAGTAAAGCTCCCGTCTGTCTGATGCCAGCTTTGCAAGAGGATGTCACTATGAAAATGTATCACAGCTTAAATAGCCTCACTCCTCAGAATTAATGGTGCCCCACAGTAATTGCTGTGACTGTGTAGTGCCCCTTCCAACAGCCCTCCAGCACTGTGGCTGTGAGGGACCGCTGGTGTGGCAATGGTGGGGTGTTGCAAAATTTAACCACCCTGGAAATCTCTTTTTAGAATGTGTTTGGTCCATTGTTTTTGCTTGTTTGCTAACGATGGTAGTTGTAAAATGACCCATTCACACGACAAAGCACAGTTGGCACCACTACCCACATTCCTGGGCACTGAACTTAATCCTTGATCTCTGTTACAAGGTAACCAGGTTGTTTGGCTCCTGCACAGAAGTGGATTTCTTAACATCTTTCACACCTTCATTTTATTTTTTTAACAATCAAATATTTGTTTCTGTAGAGATAAGTCAGTAGAAGACAAAGTCAGTTCAGATCACTGATGAAATCAGGAGGGCTTTGTGTGTGTGATTTCTACACCACATCCCCAGGTGCTTTAGTGCGTCACCAAGATGCAGGAATACCAAGTCTGGTGTTCTTTTGGGGAATAAAAGTATAAAATTAAACACAGGGCTGTGATATGTTTAGGAATAACAAAAGTGTGTCACTTGCTCTGAGCTTATGCTCTACCAATTTTAAACTGGTAGAAAAAAATTCTTGCCATAAGACTGCATACCAAAGAGTCCCAATGGATAACACTTGCCATGCAAGGCAGACCCATTAAGGTCCATCTTGGACACCATGTGTGGTCCCATAATTCCAGGCACGGCTGCAGTGCCACTGCAGGTGGTTGTCCAGACAACAGGAGTTGTGACTCTTCCCTTGTAACCTAATTAGTGTGATGGTTTCTACACATACCACAGAATTTAGCCTTTCCTACTGGCAGCACAGGGGTCTTCAGGGATATCTGTCAGCATCATTCTGTGTCCGTCTTTGTGTGTGAGCACTGCTGTAGCCAAGGCTTACTTTTACAAGGCTGTTCTGTAAGGGAAACCCAGTGGTGGAACAGGTTTCCATGTATTTGTAACCTGAGCAAGAAAAATCTGTTTGTTTTCTCTTTGAGTGAAGCATTAGCTGTGTCTTGCTCTGTGTCATTGGGCCCAATGTTGAGGAGACCCAAGAGCAGCCAGATCTTCCCTTGTGCCAGTGCCCATATCTCAGTTTGGGCACCCCTGGCAGCCACATCCATGGCAGTGCCACTAGCCTGGCTGTGCTCAGACCCCTGCTTTGCCTTTTTCCTTAGAGCTGCTGCATTTTAGTGCTTTCTCCCTTGTTCTTGCCAAGGATTTTACCAGTCCCTGTGTCCCGTGGGTAAGTGGAAACCCTCAGCAGGACAGGCACAGTAGCCCATTCCTCAGAACTCTGCTTTTAACTTGTAACAGGATTAATGACTTAGACTGTCTGAAGTTAATCCTTTAAATGTGTTAACTCCAAACAAATGAGTTCCCTGCTCCGCCTATGGTATAATTAGGCTTTTGATGAACTTGGAGCACTTGTAATCAAAATAGTCCTAAAGCAGAAAAACCTTTTGTGGCATTTGATGATCACACATCCATCAGTGCGTTAACAGTAGAATTGTCTGTTCCCTGGCAGGTCAGGATGGCCACCTCAACCCTGGAGAACCAGCTGCAGAGTGCCCAGAAGAACCTGCTGTTCCTGCAGCGGGAGCACACCAACACCCTGAAGGGGCTGCACGCGGAGCTGCGCCGCCTGCAGCAGCGCTGCACAGGTACCCATTCCCTGGAGGGACTGCTTCCACCTGGGACACCTCAGAGCAAAGCCCAGCAGCAGGGTGGATTTAGGGTCTGCAGTTTGTATCTCATGGCAAACTGGCTGATCAAAGCCAGGTTTTTTCATTTGTTCTTTAAAAAGCTGATAGTTGGGTTGTTTTATGTATTTGCTAATTTGCAGTGAATCTCCTATTCTTGTTTTGGGCAGTGGGAAGAATTAATTCTGTAGTTATTGAAAGCTGTCATTGTAAATCTGCACACCAGGTGATGTATGGGCTCCATGATGATGTTCTAACAAAAATAAACAATTTTTTTTCCTCAGATTTAACCTATGAGCTGACTGTGAAGAGTTCAGACTCATCAGGTAAGGAATACATGGCTTTTTTTTTTTTTAATATTCATGTTCAGTATACTAATTTTTTTTTCCCAATGTTTGTATTTTCTTTTCTTTTCTCCAGACTTATTTATTTATGAAGTAAATGTCAAAAATTCTTTCCCAAGGTCACACAGGAAATCTGTGAAAGAGCCAGGAATAGCACCTGGAACTGCTGACTCCACTAGACAGTTCCCTGCTTGCTATGTAGGAACACAGGACACAGATTTTAGGGGCAGAAGAGTGAGACTATTTTTAAAACTTAGCTGAGCTGGTGATGTAATTAACCACAAAACTTATATATATTTATATATATACATATATATGTGTGTCTGCTTGTGTTTGTATACACTAGTTATTTTATATATATTTTGTTAACAACAGGTAAAGAGCAGGAATAAGATAATTCCCTGAGGGTAACCCCCTGGATCAGGCATGGTGTGGGATGACTGAAGTTCATCTTTTGGATTCCTCTCAGGGATGGCAAGAGGAGCCCTATTTTAAATACTGTTTTAAATAATGGCTGTTGTTAATTTGAAACACTTCTGCTTCTCCTGTCCTTCTAGAAAGTGGTGGTTCAAGAAGTGATGAACTCAAAAGTAAGTGCAAAGATCTCGAAGCTCAACTGAAAATCAAAGAAGCTGAAAACACTGAATTGTTGAAAGAACTTGAACAAAAGAACGCGATGATAATGGTGCTGGAAAACACTATTAAAGAAAGAGAAAAGAAGTATTTGGAAGAGCTAAAAATGAAAAGCCATAAGCTCAATATGTTGTCCAGCGAACTGGAGCAGAGAGCGAGCACGATTGCGTACCTGACCTCTCAGCTGCACGCGGCCAAGAAGAAGCTGATGAGTGCCAGCGGGACTTCAGAGGGGACCCCCTCTGGCAGCCCCGTGCTGTCCAGCTACAAACCGTCCCCTCCCAAGGACAAACTGCCGGAGACGCCGCGGCGCAGGATGAAGAAGAGCCTGTCCACACCGCTGAACCCCGAGTTCGAAGAGGCCTACAGAATAGGGTCGGAGAGCCGGAAGCTGGTGCTGCGAGAGCCCGTGGATGCCATGCCCGATCCCACGCCCTTTCTGCTGGCCAGGGAAACGGCAGAGGTGCATCTGATCAAGGAGAGGCCGTTGGTCATTCCACCGATCCCTTCGGATCGCGCGCCCGGCGAGTCGCACAGCCCCGCCCGCGAGAAGCCGCACAAGGCGCACATCGGGGTGGCTCACCGCATCCACCACGCCGCGCCCGCGCAGCCCCCGCAGGAGGTGGAGACCCTGGCGGTGGATCAGGTCCATGGAGGCAAAGTGGTCAGAAAGCACTCGGGGACAGACAGAACTGTCTGAGAGCACCACGGAAGCGCTGTTCTGTGCTGGTTATGCACTGTGAGCCTGTAGGGTAAATAGCACCTGCGGTGAAGTTTCTTTTGATGCCCCATGCATGCCAAACTCCTCCCGGGTACATCATTAATACATTTTGCTCTAACGAAACCTCCTAGGACTGTGTTCATATGGCAAGGTATATAACCACTCCATGCTGTGGCCAAATCAGAGGGACCTGACCGCTTGCTTCCAAGTGCTGCTCCATTTAGTGTAAGTGCACGTGGCCAGAGGCATGGGCTGTGTTAGTGAGCGCTCTTAGAGAGAACACCCCTCCCTCATACTGCAGCCACACTACTGGCTGGTAACGTTTGGCCTGGCAGGGGTTCTCTTATCTCTCTTGTCTCCACTGTGTGTGTGAGCACTCCAGAGCCACCACTGAGCTCTGCCACAGCCACTCTCGCAGCAGCACTGAAAGCTGGGCACGTGTATGTTCACTTTAATGACCTAAGGACGTCCCCAGAGCCCCAGCAAGCACTACTTGATTAATCCTAAATACTTTGGTTTGTGGCTTTAAGTAAAATATGGGTGGGGGAAGCACCATTTAAAGGGTTAACAACCCTGATAAGAAGAGTATGAACACTGGGTTGTTTGTGGGGATCGTTTTGGGTTTTTTTAATCAAATAGCTTCATGACACATTTTACGCTAGTCAGTACACTGCACTTGTAGCACCTTCCACACTGGCTCAGAGCTCCTTTTCAGGGAGGAAATGTAACTGGCTATCCAATATGGAAATGGTTCTTTATGCTCTAACCTGCACTTTTTTTTGTAAAGGGATTATTTTTGTTTCCTAAAAACCTTAGTGTTGTCCTGGGCATCATCAGACAGTGCTGGCTGCTGCCAGCCTAGAAACCTGAGCTGCCCCTCTAAAATGTGAGTATTTAGTTGTAAGTGATGTAACTGATCCATACAGGAGAACCTGGCATCCTTGATTTCTGTCCTTGTGGATTGGGATGGACTTGCCTTGCACTTGACCAGATTCCCCTACTCCTTTCTAGTAAGTAGCAGGTAGACCCAACAGCTGTTAGACTACTTGATTCTTTTTTTTGGTTTTTTTCTAGGAAAGAAAGGCATACTAGGAGCTGGGAGAGTATATAGTTTTGGGATAGGAGCATTAGTTTGTCCATTTTTCTTACATTCTGTTCACCTCTGCTTCACTCTTGTCTGCAGCCTCTGAGTAGGACCAGCAAGAAACACTGGCTCCCAAATGCTGCTAAGCTTATGATGTGCCTTTAAAATTTTGGAACGTGTATTCTCTGTGACAGCTGATGAAGGATCCCTGCCTGCCCTGTCCCCTCCCCTCGCCAGCTGTAGTTTGCCCCTTGTAAGCTTTTCCTGCAGCTGTGTTGGTGTGTGTCCCTGCAGAGCCTTGGACCACTGGCAGAGCTGTTCTCCCGCCTGTGGTCCCGCTCCATTCCCGCAGCATGACCCTTCCAGCAGGGCTGATCCCGGGCGAGGCTCTGCCCTCTGCACCCTGTCACTCGCTGTCCCAAAGGCCCAGACCCGCCTCAGCCTCGCGCCTCGCTGGCTCTGTGGTTGGAATTTGTTTCATAAGTGGTGGGGAGGGATCAGAAAGGAGTTGGTTAAAGCAAGGTTGTTACTCTGAGGTTTACTGTTTTTACGTGTGTTGCGTTAACCAGCAGCTGGTTTGGTTACTTCGGTTGTTGGCACCATATTTTTATGGTCATGTGTTGTATGAGTGACCTACCCTGCCACTTGTTGGAGGCTGGTGGGAGGCACCGCTTCCAGGCAGTGCAGAAGTGATGCTTTGGGCAATTAAAGACATTTCTTACAACCACCCAGGCAAACCTTAGTCTTTGTGTGTGCGGGACTCTCTCTTTGCAGCCACAGACTGCCTTGGAGCCGTTCCAAAAGGAAACACAAACTACAAAAACCAGTCTACTCTTAAACACATTTATTGGGAATATAATACAACCAAGCTAATACTAACTAAAGTCAGGTGTGCCTAAGTGAACACAACCCCACCCATGGTGCTGGATCTCTGCCTGGCTTCAGGGTTTCATTCTGGGGGAAGAACACGGTGCCTATTTTTGACTGTCATTCAGCATTGAGGGTGAGACACACGCCTTGGAGGACCCAGTGGGAAATGTGCCTGGTAGTGTAGAGGTCAGCTTCAAAGACCAGGCCGAAGCCCATGGCGTTGCGGCGCATGGAGGTCGTGTACACCGGGGTCCGGAGCGTGTTCTGCAGGAGGAGGCAGCACAGACACTGAGCAGGGCCTGAGCTGCTGCATGAACTGCAAACAACAAGGCCCTCGAGGAGAGAGGACTGGTAAAGAAATTCACTTTGTTTGTTAGAGGTCTTAAATAGCCACTACCCAGAAAATGGAAATGTCCTTTATGTCATTTACTGGGGATGGGAAATAATTGAAAGAGTAGGGGGAGTGTAAGAGTGCCTGAAGGGAAAAGAGGCAACAAATGCCTCAACCCCCTGAGAAGAAAAAAACTGTAGTGATGGGTAGTGTAAGGAGAAGTGTTAAACCAGTTGCTTCATAGGGGAGTGGTAATGATAAAATGCAGCTTCTGGGCAGAGAGGGCAGGGCCTGCCAGCTGGGGAGCTGTGACAGCAGGAGGAGAAGGTAATTCAGGAGCCTCACCTGCAGCCTGAGTCTGTGTGCTTCTATGGGGATGATCTTCAGGATGGGCAGCTCCACCACCGGGACACGGGGCTTGCTCTGGATGAGACAGCCCTGCTCGATGTCCCAGTCTGCTCCTTCCAGGAACAAACCAGAAACATAGCAGCCTGTGAAGGCAGAAAATGCAACATTTGGGTAAAGTGAGCTAGAAAAGATGTAGGAGATCTTTGAAGGTAAGTGTTCCTGCAGTCCCTGTTCTGGGCACTACAGGCATCATCACAAACACACTGCATTTCAGACTGCAGCTGCACAGGGTGCAGTTTTCTGAGAGCTTTGTTTTTATCCTCCAGCTGTATTAGGAAATCAAATTAAATACCTGTGAAGGCAGAAAATACAACATTTGGGTAAAGTGAGCTCCTAGAAAAGATCTAGGAGATCTTTGAAGGTAAGTGTTCCTGCAGTCCCTGTTCTGGGCACTACAGGCATCATCACAAACACGCTGCATTTCAGACTGCAGCTGCACAGGGTGCAGTTTTCTGAGAGCTTTGTTTTTATCCTCCAGCTGTATTAGGAAATCAAATTAAATTGTCTCAGTTGCACTACACATGATAAACAGTAGCAGGAATAAATGTAATTTGCTGCCCTCCAATTGCCCAAGTCACAGAGAGCTTTGTAACTCCCCTGGGCCTGATCACTGGGTCACTGAGAGCAGGTGAAGGGTCAGGACAGTTGTTCTGGTACAAATATCAAGTACAGATTTAGATGTTTTAAAAATGAGACTTCTTTTCTTCTCTGTTCCCAATCAGAACTGGTACTCAGAGCCTTGCTTAGCTGCTCCCTGTACCCAGCTTGTTATATTTAGTATTTAGAGCAGTGCTAGGCATAGAGAGCTCATAAAGAGATATTTACACAATAAATGATACATATTTGTAGGCACTTTTTGCTTAAGTACATTTCAATACATGGTTTTGGAAAATGGAAATAGATCTTTACAAGCCTGCTGGAATTGGTAATGTTCTAAGCATAAAGAAATTGGTCTGTCTTTATATACATACATATATATACACACATATTATATATATATATATACTTTACACATTCATACACACACACATATTATGTATGTATGTATGTATGTATGTATAGGGAGCAAGCAAGGGACAGGGGTAAGTTCAAGTCCCTGCCTGTGGGTGGGAAGAGCATGCTTCCTGCACACAGGGGCTCTGCAGGGACCAGAACCCAGCTACTTCCCAGCTGGAAATCATGAGGACTGTGAAATGCAAACCCAGGGCAAATGCCTGCCAAGGTTTAACCAAAGTAATTCAGTGTGCCAAGCAATTTCTTTCTCTCACCAATTAACTACTTAATTGTGAAAACACCTACCCTGAGCAGCCCCTTCAGTGATGTCTTCTGCTTTCCTGTACTTGGTTACCTCTGTGTAGAGGGTGGAGTGATCCAGGGGCCACCTGTTTTTCCTGCAGGTGGCTTGAACAAGAGCAGTCAGGTAGGACTCAGGAATGTGCAGGCCCGACAGCCACATCACCTCAGGCTCACCCTCGCTGATCTGCAAGCAGAGGCAGTGATGGGCAGCAGCTGGTACTGACCCTGCACTGCCCCTGGAGAGGAGCTGGGCTGAGCCTGCCTTGCAGCCACAGTTATGCAATGCTGGTACTAGTTCAAGAACTTACCTGAAACATTCACTGGCTTGTGCCCCAGCCTGCACAGCACACTGTGCAGGTTAACAAAACAAAAGGCTGTCTGGGGGCACTTGCTTACCCAGCTGGTGTACTGGTCATATCGAGCTCTGAAGAAAATAATCCAATTTCCAAGTGTTTTGAGGGTGTCAGGGGCCAGCCGCCGCCAGATCCCAGGAATCTGCCCATTGAAGAGGGCCTGAGCCACATCATCCAGTTCACTGCTCATTCCAACTTCCCCAGCCAAGGCCTGGAACAATGGTGAGAGTTCTGAGGGCAGGCAGAGCCCAGCTGGTGCCATGGAGTTGCTGGGATTTTACTCACACGTTGCAGCTCAGCCAAGGACTTTCCCATCCGAACGATGAGCTTATTGAAACGTTCCAGCTCCTGCAGCAGCACCACAGTCGTAGGGGCAATGTTTACTCCATATCCTTTACGTATCTGGTCAAGATCAAATACTTGAGGTAATTTGTTTTCTATATCCTTGGCAACATTTGCAATGTATTCATCTCGACTAATTCCTGCACCAGTTTCACCTGAAACCAAAAAATTCTGGTGAGACTAAATCTGTACTAAATCTTCTGAGAGAAGGTTGAGAGCTGAGTCACCTTTTGGCATCAGTCTCCCAACTCTTCTGCTCTGATCTTTGCCCACAGCCCCAGATCCCTCCCACACAGAGGGGCTGCTGTCCCTGTCCCCAGGGCTCAGCACTCGCCACTGCAGGTTTCCTGTTCACAAAGCCAGTTGCACGGCCCCAGCTGTGCCTCTGGGCAGGTTGAGCTGCTCCCTGCAGCAGCTTTGGACACAGCCCCAGATCCCTCCCACACACAGGGGCTGCTGTCCCTGTCCCCAGGGCTCAGCACTCGCCACTGCAGGTTTCCTGTTCACAAAGCCAGTTCAGACAGGGCACGCACCAGTCTGGGGCTGCAGCTCGAGCAGGTGAACCCACATGTCCCGCACTGCGTGTGTGTAATACCCGATCTCGGCGTTGGCGTGAAGGCCCAGGACCTCGGGGGTGTTGGAAAGTGGCAGAGCTTCGATGGCCTCTGGAATACAACCACACACACTCTGGTAACCAGAACATATTTTGCTATTGCTCTGCTTGAATAAAAAAATCAATTGCTAAACCTGATGTTGGAATAGTGTACAGAATAAACACTTCTAAACACAGAGACTCCCCCACAGAAATATTATATATATCATTAACAAAATTAACATGCTCCTTTACTGATGTTTTGTGGTTTGGGTCATTTTTTCAATTTTTTTTAACACCCAAGGAGCTCAATGACAAGCTCACATTCCAAAGCACTGCTCGTGTAAAGCAGTGGATTACAACACTGCAATCCATACACCTGCAGTGCCTGGGGTTCTGTTCAACTTCTCACACTCAGCAGCAATGTATGGAGACAGTGTACACTGGAAGCAGCCTTTTTTTTAATGTGGCAGGAGAGGCATTTCTTACCAACAAAATCATCTTTTCCCTTCCCTGGTGGAATTTTATAATCGACTGTGTCGCTTTTATAAAAATGGAACACTTGGAATGTGTCAAACAGGAAATCCCCGAGGTACTCATCCATGTAGACGGTCAGGATGCGCCGGTCAAAGCTGTCGATGGCACGCCCTCCATACATGACCTGGGAATCAGTGACACCAGTGTTACAGCACTGGCTTTTGGAACAGAAAATACAGTTGAAAAAAATCACTGAAAGGTCAGAAATGCTCTTTGCTTTTGCAGTGGCTGTGGTGTAACACTCTCCCTTATGGATCCCAAGGACATCTCCAGTCCCCTCTCAGGGGGACAGGAAGGAATATTTGGCCTTGGTCTAGAAAGAGCTGCTCTGGGCACTCCTCATCACCCATCTGGATGATTCGTGTGCAGTGGTGCCTTCCTGAGGTACCAGCTCATGCTCAGCTGGGATCCAGTGCTGCAAAGTAACATTTTCCTGCAGGACTTCATGTTGCAGCAGCTGCCAGTGCGGTGTGCCAGCTCTGAGAGCACACATTTGTACAGCCCCAGTGATCCCCCACGTGCCACAGCCCTGTGCTCTCCCACACAGCCCCAAGGGCTCTCTCAGAATTAATTAAGCACCATCACTCCCTGTTGTGCAGGTGCACACAGCAGCCCTAATTCCCTGAGACTCAGATTAAGGCCCTTGCTCAGGGCTACACTGGAGTTTCAAACCTGCCCAGGAAACACTCCCAGCTTAACTTGATGTAGCCCATGCAGAAAGGAAACTTAATTTATCTGAATTGCTGTGGCACTGTGGCACTCACCTCCCCAATAAGATATTTGAGACTGTTCCAAGGGATTTGATCATCGACCTGCCCAGGAAACACTCCCAGTTTAACCTGATGTAGCCCATGCAGAAAGGAAACAATTTATCTGAATTGCGGTGGCACTGTGATACTCACCTCCCCAATAAGATATTTGAGACTGTTCCAAGGGATTTGATCATCCTTTTGTTCAAAAGCTTTTGTCAAGTATGTGTTAAGGATTTCCATGCACACCTAATGAATTTGTTGGAACATGTGAGATAGATAAGAACATTCATAAATCAGATATACATATTCATAGGTTTTATTTAATGTAGTTCTTGTTTGAAAACTAACAATTACTTCTTTCTGAAATAATTGAAGAGTATAAATCCTCTTAAGAAAAGAAACCCATGATAGAAGTAATAAAACCATGAAGGATTGGGAATCTAATTTTTAGCATCCTAAATTGATATTACAGAAGATCGTGAGTCTACATGACTCCTCAGAAGCAGAAAAAAATAATCTAATTGTGAGAAAGGTTAAAGCTGGATCAATTCTGTGTTTTCAAAAGCAATCTGAGCTACTCAAGAATATAAAAGCCATTGCAATTGTTTTCTTACCTGGAAATCAGATTCGTTAAAATCGTACGGCACATTCCAGCCAACCTTCCCAAACTTCCTTCTCTCCTGAACCACAGCATGGAAAAATGCCAAGACATAGACCAAGGATTTAAAGGCAGGATGTGGGCACTGCTCTAAGGCTTCTGGGGGAATTTTGAAGTAGGTGGCTCTCATATTCAGTTTCAGACCATTAGGTGGTTCTGTAACAACCTATCAAAATAATTAGGGAAGCCATCAAATACTGGATAACTTGAGGAAAATAAGTTGTAAATATATCACATTAAGTAAGCTATACAAGGCAAGCTTGACATTTTAAGTTGTTTCCCAAATGTCTATCAAATATGGATTTTTTCTTAAGACATGAAACAGACCTTTTAAGTTTATCAAGGTAAACACACCTATGCAAGGAGAACTCTATATTATTTTGGAATTAGTCATATTATTGGCAAGACATTAATATTTCTCATACTTGAAGATCTAATTTACTGAAATACCAGTACTTTACACATTTTAATGTGCCCTATATCCTCACAATAAGATGCTTTAACAACGTGGCTTTACTGCTGATCAAAGTGCCAGAGCTGCTTCCTGGCAGCCTTTTCAAAGGGCTCTAAAACCTCACTTCTCACTGCTCCTGGCAAGACACACAAAGTGCAGATCTGCAGCCTTAAAGACCCACGTGGGCTCCCTTCCCACTGCAGGAGGAGTGGGAGGACAGCCCAGAGCTGCCACTGAGCCACTGCTTTCAATCTGTGAAATAAAATAACAATGTTTACAGATAGGGCACCACAGCAGCAGTAAAGCAGCCACAGAAAAGAACATCAGGGCAGAATCATGGCCTGTGCCTTCAAAATAATCAGCTCAGCCTTTAGTGATAAACACTGCAGCCCAAAGGAGCAGCTGGAAACCATTATCCACTTCCAACATCTGCTCCACTGGCACTGCCAGCCTGGCACTGCCCTGGTTCTGCACTGCAGCATCAGGGCTGACAGGGCTATGTCTGTCTCCAGGTACTCCTCACTTGTGGCAGCATTTCAATCTAAAGACCATTTGTCACATCTCCAGGTTTACTCACAAACCTCTGCTTTGAAATAACTGCTCAACAGTTTTTCACCCAAAGGAAACAAGCCAGGAAAACAGGATGATGAAAAAAGGATTTGGCTTAAACAAAGACAAAAAGTGAGTTCACAAGCCTGGGCCAGTGTGCTGCATTCGGGTCAGGCTCCTCCCAGAGCCAGGCTGCTCTGCTGAGCCCCAGTGCCAGGACATGCCCTCCTGGCTGGGGTGTCCCCACCTTCAAGGCCTTCTGCAGGATTCCAATTGGGAAGCCTTCAGTTGGGTCAGTCGTCAGCCAGAGGCGAAAGTCTTCATGAGGATCTGTAATTTTCTCCACAGCCTTTTCCAGATGGATGAGCCACTTCACCAAAAGGTGACAGTTCTGCAACATGAGCCAATGTCCATGAACCACTGATTCCTCCAGCAACTGCAAAGCGATCTGAGGACAGAGGGAGAAGCATCTGTAAGTCTCCCTTTACCCTGAGAACAAACTGCCTCTGATGGGCTCATGCAGTGGTCTAAATGAGTCTGATAGGAGTTCTTCCACTGACTCAAATCATGGCAAATTGTGCAGTGGGTTTTCCTGCTCGGAAAGTGGTGGTCTAAATGAGTCTGATAGGAGTTCTTCCACTGACTCAAATCATGGCAAATTCAATAGCTGTTAATCCCTGGACATCCTGCCTTAGTGTCCATAACAAAAAGGAAAGTCACAGGAAAGGCAGGAGAAGCAGCAGAACTTTCTGGTAGCAAACATTGCAACTTCCAACGACCTCATGTCCATACACAGCAACATCTTCTCATTTCTACTTTTTAACAGCCAAAAATCTGATTCTGAATCTACCCTCACCCAAACCAGAACAGCAGCCAGTCAGCCAAATGGCCCCTTGTTCAGTAAAATGTTATTCCCAAACTGACAAATCTGTGTCAGAATCATAATGTAACTCCTTTTCAAATGGAACAGACCTATGGAAAGGAAACTTGATCAGTCCCAGAGCATTAGGAGCATGGCTTGTAACTCACACTCTTGCAATTCACACACTTGTAATTCACACAGGACATCCCATCCAAGTTACCTCTTCTTGGCCTTGTCCCATGGCCAGGAATTTGAGTCTATCTGCTTTAAAATCTGTTCTCTCAGCCAGTTTCATGAGGTCATTGACAGGATCAGAGCCAGGACTTAGGATAAAAACCACAGGTGAGAAAGGGCTGCTCTGCTGCAGGATGTCATCGAAGCTGATCACGGGGGGCTGCACGTACCTGGCAGAGGGAGAAGCCCAAAGATTTGGCTGATTGCACAGAGCAGCTGCCACGTGGGAACAGAGCCTTGCACACCAAGGGCACAGCTCACCACGGACTGCACATGGAAATCATTCTGCTCATCACACAGCCCCTGCTCTGCTCTCCAGGCAAACTACACAACACTGACAAAGCTGATCAGAGCTCTGTGTCAGTGCTGTGCTGGGGATCTGAGAGGAGGGTGACTCACGTCTCGCCCATGGTCACTGTCACATAGTCCATCACCGCCCGGTACATCCGGTCCACGCGGAAACACCGCAGCAGGAGAAGCTTCTGGAAGTCTGTGACGTTGCCCTCATAGTGCATTGGCAATGGGATCTGCTCCAGAGCATCTGTGTCATACCACTGGCAAGGAAAGACAGCACACAAATGAACCCAGTGGCTCTGTCAGAGAAATTACTAGAAAAGAGAAAATCAATTTGATGAATGGGGGGCCAAGAGACACAACAAAAACAAAGAAAGTCAATCAGCTGAAAATAAATATTAAAAGTTCAGGTGAATGTAAAAAATCCAACTTTTTTGGTATGTAGTATTCAAGTCCAGAAACACATTTGTACTTTCACTTGATGTCAACTAATTCTCGTAAGAAAAGCAAAAAGGTACTAACAGATTGCTTCCAGGAAGACTTCTTATAAAGCAACAAGACATAGAATGAAGCTAAAGGAGGAACAAAGGAAGTCTGTGTTTGTCAATAACCTATAGAATTCACTGCCACAAGAAGATCAAAGCACAATTTAGCAGCACAAAAACACCACTGAAATTTTGACTGCTGAAATGAACAGAAAATTTCAGGGGTATTTCAACAGGGTAAATAACTCCTCTAAGACATTTGACAGACAAATAAAAATTCTACAGTATAACAGGGAAGATATTTTGTTCTGTTTTTTAAATAATATAATTATTAATTCTTCTGCAAATAAGCCAATCACCAACTGAGGTCAAGAAGCAAAGAAAGGCCTTGAGGGAAGAAGCCCACAGTGACATCTCCCCTGTGGAGTGCTGACACATTGCATCACACTTGACCATTTAATACCAGAAGAAAAACTAGGAGAGAAAGCAGCATTCCAAAAAAGCACGTACATTTTTCCATACGTCTGGATTGTCTTCCACATCATCTGGAAGATATTCAAATTTCTCAGGAAACAGCTCAGACAGGCGAATCAGGTCTTCCCAGCCTTGATCTGGCAGCCAAGCAAACGGTTTCTTTCGGGCACTCTTCTCCAGGGAAATATTGCCTAGGCACGTTCAGAATCCAGAGTCAGTGTCCATGTCAGAAACCCTCCAGGGCATGACCACACATACAGTCCCCCTGCACACAGGAACCAAGTGGAAATTTGTTCCTGGAAGCACTGTAAGATTGGACTGGTCTGCTGAAGGAAAATGGCATTTTAAAGTGCTTCCAAAAGCCAGAGTTTTATCCTTGCAAGCATTTCTAAAATTATGTATACACAGTCAGAAAATAACTACAACATAGTCAGAAAATAACTACAGATTACTTTCCTCATGTAACATCCAAACAATTAGCTAGTGTGAAATAGAAATAGCAGGATCCCCAGTTTGTGTAACCCAACAAGTGCAGCTCTTCTCAGTGGGAGAGCTCCCCTTCTTGAGGTGCTGGCTCACAGTAAATCACCTCTAGTCAAAAATCTCTCTTCAAAAGATCTTTTATCTATTGCTATGTAGAGTTACATACTTACATATAAATATCCACTTTACCTTTCAAAAAGAAATCAAATTCTTCTTGTGGAACTCGGCCTTCAGCTTGTTCTATCTTGACAGTCATATCAAAGGAGAACAGTAACTTGTGCTTCTCGAACAAGGCTACGTTAAAAGGACATTTTCAAAAATCAGCTGCAAAAGCTTGTGGAACTGGAGCAATCTTTCAATCCACATCCTTCATCTGTTGTGGGACTGATGAGATGTTCCACCCCTGCAAGTGCTCAAGGCCATTGCTGAGGGGCCCTCAGCAACCTGATCTAGTGAGTGGCATCCCAACCCATGGCAGGGAATTGGAACCAAATTATTCCAAAGGTCCTTTTCAAGCCAAACCATTCTGTGATTCTATGATCTGGTCACCCCACAAAGATCATTTGGTTGACAGCTGGAATTGATATTCCTAAAGGTCTTCTCCAGCCTGAACAATGCTATGATTCTGTGATCAGGGGGATCAAAGCTGGGGCTTTGAATCAGGCTTTAAGAGTCAATACAGCCCCTGTGAGCAGCTCTATTGTAACTGTGTTAAGAAAAGCATTTTTGCAAGAGCTACATGGGTAATGTGCAATGTTCTTCTAAGAGAAGTAGCAGGGAGGAAAGTGTGAACCAGGAGACCTGAACATCACTGAATTCCCTGCTAGGTAACCTCCTCTTTAACATGAACCAACTGAAGTCAGGGCTTCACCTTTATTTGCACCTCAGCCCCTGGTTAAACTGCACTAACCTGTGCAGCCATAGTTGTAGGTGCTCAAAGTCAGTGTATCCATGATGTTTTTTAACCTCTTAGGAAGAATAGGACTGGGCATGGATTTCCGAAGAGAGAATCCAAAAACCTCTAAGAAGGAAACCAGTGAGAACTGGTACATGATGTTGACAAATGCCAATTCAGCCAGCACAGAGAAGAGAATGGCTCCCCTCTTGGCAGCTGGTCTGTAGCCATCTCGGAGAAGGTCGATATCCGCTGCGGTCGTCTCAGCCAGCTTCAGTTTCTCAATCACCTGGGCAGACAGGGGTTTTATACACCTGAAATTGCTGTGCTGATCCAGAGTGGATCTATTGTAGCACAGTAATCAGAGCTGCTCAGTGCCTGCCTCTCTGTGTGACCGTAGAGGGAATCTGGGCAGGTAACTCAAAAGAAACTGTATGAATTATAAAAATTTAAGTTAGATAAAATTAATCCCACCCTGTATATTTACGAAAAGTAACGGCAAAGATTTACAAAAAATCATGGAAATAGTGTGGCAAGGGCCCTCTGGGGATCTTTAGTTCAACTTCTGCCCAAAGCTTGGTTATAACCACCACTAGATCAAGTCCAGTGTGGCTTTGCCCAGCTGTGGCCTGAAATCTCCAAGGATGGATTGTTTTGTCTTAGAACTGTAAACAAACATTACTTTGGTCCTGTTAAGGATTTCCCTGAAGATAGGATTTGGTTCTCTGACCAATAAAATGGTGCCCAATACTGAAAGATGCAACACATTCATGAGAAAACTCTCCATTTCCTTTCAAATTATTTGCAAGCTTCAGGAGTAAAACTGAAGCCCAATGAAAAAGGAACGACTACGTTCTGTCCAGAGATACCCTTCCAAAAAGCCCAGAGCTGATACCTCAGTAGCTTTGAATTTTGTGTTCTCCAAGGTTTCCACCAATTCCACATTGTCCAACATGTTGCCTGTGGAAGTTGACAGTCCATGAAGGAGAGTGTCTTCCAGATTTTTCAGCAGGTTTTTATTTTCACTTGTCTCTTTGATGAGACGTTCTCTCTGTTCCTCCAATTCCCTCCTTTCAAAACCCGTAATGACACTGAGCAGCTGATCCTCCAGGCCCTTGAGTGTAACTACAGGTACAATACATGGACAGAGCACAGACTTTTGTTAGCACAGGACAGTTTTTATGCAACTTATTTAACCTCAGGGCTCTTACAAGACTACAGCAATGCAACAGAGTGATCTGGTTAATGACTGTGTATCTTGATTCCACCAAAGCATCCTGACCTGACCAGTACAGGAAGAGATTTTTACCTCAGTTGCAGATTAGAAGAGAGAAGTGAGAAGGACTTTCTATTAAATCAGATGCTGAATGTAAGGGAGAGTATGAATTTCTTAGTTTCATCAAGACAATGACCCAGGCCCTAAGTTTACACAACAGCATAATCCCTACTTTGTTATTATATACACACTTAAGCTTACCTGTATAATTGATAACAATAGCTCTGCCAAACACAGAGGGAGAATACTTTGGGTTTGCTAATTTGGTGTTCAGGTACATTTTAAAATTACTGTCATAGTCAACCTCTTTGTCCCCCAGCACAATGAATGCTCGCCCCTGTGCAACTTTGACATTCTTCTCTAAGACATTGTCTATCACAGGGTCGATGTATTCATCAACACTGTGCACCAGGAAAGGGGTTCCATACTTTATGGCCTGTTCTAGTTGTTTCAGGAAATCTGGGTCATTAAAGGAAGCCATCTGCAAGAGAACAATGGGAAAACATGAAAGGAGAACTGATATTCAATTTGCTGAACATTATTATTTTGCAGTAGCTGCCAACATTAATGATTGTTCTTTGCTGCTTTTTGTCTTTCCTCTCACAGATGATATGAAGTGCATTTGCACAAAACAGTAAAGGTGCTTTTTTCTGATTAGCTGAGAACAATTTCCATTTAGAAATTACCCTTTAAAGTTCTAGCTGTGCCTCTAAGTGTGTTAGACTCTTTCTGCATGTGCAGACAGGCTGAGAGAGCTGGGGTTGTTCATCCTGGAACAGAGAAGGCTCCAAGGAGACTTTTAGCACCTTCCAAAACCTAATGGGGCTCCAAGAGAGAGGGAAAGGGACTTTGGACAAGAACATTTAGCAACAAGACAAGGGGGAATAGCTTCAGACTGAAGGAGGTCAAGGTTAAATTACATATTAGGAAGGAATCCTTCCCTGTGAGGGTGGTGAGGCCCTGGAACAGGTTTCCAGAGAAGCTGTGGCTGCCCAGTCCCTGGCAGTATTCAAAGCCAGGTTGGATAGAGCTTGGAGCACCCTGGGATAGTGGAAGGTGTCCCTGCCCATGGCCAGGAGTGGAACTAGAATGTCCTTCCCAATCCAAACCATTCAATAATTCTGTGCTATATAACTGGTTCCCCATTCAAGGTGACAGATATTTATGCAGCTTTGAAAACGATCAGTAATGAGGCAAAGCAATCTTCCATCTTTACCTTCAGGTTATTTTTTTCTTCCTTCTTCTTAATCCAATGTAATGCCTGCTGCTGTGGGTCAATACAGAGTGGGAAGCGGCTGGAATACGTTGTCAGGATGCCATTCTGGACAGACAGCTCATCTGGGGGCAATCCTTCAGAAACCCACCTGGGAACAGAATGGACCAAACACCAGCCTGGGATGAAAACTCAGTGGGAGAGCAGCACATTTCATTTGTCAGCAAAATGATGCAACTCACTGAGCACACAATCAGACACACACAGTGCATGTGGTTATGGGGACAGTGTCACAGCTCAGACTGACTCCTGTAACTGCACTACTCAAAGTACTGACTGGTGCCCTAGGTGAGCAATCCTGTGGTAGTTGACACATGGGTTCCCTGAGCTTAATACCAAACCCACTGAAGTCAATGAAAAGACACCTGCTGGGTTATGGATACATATTTTATAGAGAATTCCTGAAAAACTTCCTAGAAATGGTATTACATGTGTTTAAGTTCAGTGAATGTCCCTGGAGTGTTAAGTACAACAGATTCTTCCAACAAATGGCCCCTGTTAATCAGGACATGAAAGTAAGATTCTCTCTCTGGTGTGGCTGTGCACCTCCACCCACAATGCCAATTCTGTGCCACAGATTGAGCTCCAGACTCCCACTTTATAAAGTCACATCCAGCAGTCCCTGGGTCTCCTGACTGGACGTACCTGCTAACCTCCACCTCATCGGTCAGGAGGCTTTCCAGCTTAAATGGTTGGCTGACAGGAATTTCTCGTGAGAAAATATCTTCCTGCCACACTTGATAGAGCATTTCATGACGGAACTCCCAGCTGAAGGCTCCCACATAGCACAGAAAGGCAGCAGCAAGTAAACAATCTCCAAGTAACTTCACCTTCCGTATTTCTAATTCCTTGAATTCCTCTGTCCACCTGAAATAATTATATGGGAGATTCTGTACCAGGAAGATGAGGTTTATGTGCAGGATTTCCTGCTACTTTAGATACAGGTTGAGACAGACCCCCAAATTTAGAATCAGTTTTCTCTTGCTATTATGAGGGTCACAGACACTGAGTTGATCTGAACTTTCATCCATTAATCTCAGTCATTTTCCAAGAGCTAATGGATATTAGCTCAGAACAGATAATAGCTCTTCTCAGAAATAAACACCATAGAAAGCAACATTTTCAAAAATGTCTCCACCTGACAGATTTTATCCCTGACACATGAACCTCTGATGTCAAAAATGATCCTCTTTGGATCTAGACTTACCTCTCATTCTCAGATTTCAAGCCAGCGATGAGCTTATCAGCAGCCTCTAATCTTCTCTGCATTATCTCTGCTTCTTCTTGTAACTTTTTATTTTCTTTTAATGTCTGGTCTAATTTTTCCCCCAAAGCTTTAAGCTCCTCCTGAATGGCAGCCAGCTCTGCCTGTATCCTTTCCAGTTCCCGCTTACTTAATTCATAGTTCCGCTCCAGCCTGGCCACCTAGAGTGCATTTTTGAAGGAAACATAAGATTTTCAGAGGACAGAAGGATTTTAGAGATAAGTAGTAAGTTCTCACATTTCTTTTGGTTGTATTATATTTTTCAAATTGTTCTGGTAATAAACAGTGCAAGCCAAAATAACTGACACTGTCACTCTCCTCTCCCCATCCCAAACATGCATCATGATTGCAATTCTAAAGCAGAAAAATCTCCCAGTTCTGCACCCACAAGGAGTACGAAAGCACTGGAGGTCAGCAGGACTCTCATGCCCAAAAAGGGGAGGTTTGTCTGCTTAATAACAACAATATTAAGGCTCCAAAAATAGTCAGACACTTCATCTAGTGAATATACTTGCTCTTTAGTCAGTTGTATAAAATAACCTTTTCTTGATAAAATTTCACAGTGTCATCTGTTGGACATTAGATTTCCTTTGGCAATACAGCTGAATTTCCAGTCATCCTAGAAAAAGCTAATCAAAAGGTCTGTGTTTAAGGAACATGGATTTAGTGTACTACTGACCTCTGTTCTGTCCAAATGCCATGGGTTTTAAAGCTTGTTTTTAATAAACAGCTCTAACTGTGTTTTTCTAAGCACGTTAGATTACAAAATTCCAACTGAACATGTTCCTCCCTCATCCCACAAGCACTGGAATGGATGGCAACCCACAGCCCAGCATCCTGACACAACAAATACAGTGATTTATGACTGACAACCTGCCCCACTGCTACTACAGTAGCTGTTCTAAAAACCATTTTTAAGCACTTCAATAGGAAAAGTGGGCAGTCTATGAAATGGCCAAGTATTATCTTTTCCATCAGGATTATGTTTTGAACTTCTCTGAATTTGATTCCAACATATTTTACCTTTTCTTCCTTTGGCTTGACTGTTTTAACTACATCACAGTAGGTCACCACTGCTTCAGCAAACTTTAACATTCCCAGTCCTGCTCTGCTGATAACTTCCATTTCAGCCCAGGTAGTGTTAAGATTCTTTAAGAGAGCTAAATTGGCAAACACAAAAATATTGCAAGTGAGTTGAACAACTGTGCAAAAACCCTAAAAGAATAGTTTTTCCTATCAGCAACACCAACCAGTGCTGTGACAGACAATGGGAAATATTTGTCAGAATATTAAAGAGACTCTGTTGGCTGTTCCCATTAACAAGATCCTATATTCACTGCAATACCCAGAACAGGAATTCACCTCTCATGGCTTTCACATTGCTCCATGGAATTTCCCTAAAATCTGTCGTCAACAGAAGTCGCAGGAAATTTGTGTCAGCCATCATTGCTTTGGCATTCTTCCAGTTTTGTTCTTTGTAACCTCTCATTATAAGAATACAGTCCAGAACAACCTGCACCTGCTTCGGGGGTGTTGCAAAGGACCTGGAAAACAGGTGAAAGAGACAGTGGAAGAGAAAAAAGGAGACAAAGCACATGATGCCAGACATGGGCACTGCCTGGTAAGAGAGGCATTGCAATACAGGAGCTTGAACATAAGACAAGCCACAACAGTGAAATAAATAACCCAAATCAGAAAATAAATTATTAACTACTCAAAAGCTCAGAACCAATTCCTGTATTCAGACAATTTGATCCATGAAATACTAAATTATTTCAACAGTGGAAAGCTTAAAACACTGAGCCTTGATATTCTTTCCTAGGGCAGTGAAGCAGCTGGAGAAAAATCCAGAGATCTGTGAGAGAAAGGAAACTCAAGTGTGGCAGGGAAGGGAGAGCCATTGCTATTTTGAGGACAACTATTTCAAGGAGAGCCAAAGACTGGATGTGCCTTTATATCAATCCTTAAAAAAAGATGTATTATCAAAACACGGGGAGGAGTAAATTAGGCAGGGAAATACATTTGCTATTAAGGTATCCCTGAAAAATAACTGTTATGTGTTCCTACTTACACAGGAAAAAAAGAGAGGAGGAATGAACAGGTTTGGACAGCCACTGTTCAGGAAAAAAACAGCAGTAGGTTCTGGTGTACCAAACACAGGCCAGAGAATGATGGAGTAAACAGCAAACAAAGGCCTGGAAGAACTGTCTTAAGGCAAAGGCATGGGCTAGGAATCAGGGCATCCTGTTGTGACCTCTGCACCCAGGCATCTGATGTCCTGACTTTCACAGGCAGGCAAGAAAGATGAGGCTAAGGCTCAGACCCAGCAAACAAGAGTCTCTCAGTGTATTTCCAAGAGTTTATGCTGCTGTACATACAAATGAGTCACCTGAGTTCAGTAACTTCAGCCTTGTCAAGCTTTTCAACCTCCCGTTTGGCAGCTTCCATGATAGGCTTGATTTGATCCAGTGCTGCCTCAGCCTCTGCCTTCTCCACAGCAATGATCTCATTCTGCTCCTGTATCTCTATAGCTTTCTCTTCACCCATTTTTTTCTTCTCCTCAGCTAGTAATTGCAAAGGCAGGGCCATAAATGAATCATTCAAGTTTGTACACAGAACATATAGTAATACACTAATAGAGATTTACTCTTTGCTGATCAGAAATTACCATAAATCAGAACCTTGTTTCCAGCTTGCCTCTGGTTACAGCTACATCACCAGGTGAGGAACAGTTAGTGTTCCACACAACAGCATGCACAATCTCTTTTCCTCCATGTTTCCCTCTAATACTGAATGCCTGAATCAGAAGTTGCCTTTCTTGCTACTGCCTTTCCCACATTATGCCCTACACCTTGGAAAGGGAAGAACAAGGGCAGGCAAACGTTGTGTAAAGTACTGTGGGCCAAATGTGGAGCAAAGATGGCAATCTGGGCAAAGCAGGGGACCTGCTCTTCTGGCATGGCATGGGAGCAGCACACAGAACAAGAGGGATACCTCGAGAAGCAGCTGGAGCTCTTCAAGGGCCTCCCAACCCAGCCTAACACAGATGATGTGAGCCCTGCTTAGCCTGTGGGACACTTCACTAATTGTAAACTACCCACCTATTTCTGTGTTTAATTTAATGTCTCTTAACAAAGCCTCACAAGCAGCTGTTTTTTCTGTTAGTATAATCTTCTGCTCAGCAAGTTTCACGTTCAGCTCAGCCAGCTGCACAGCAGCTTCCTTCAGTTTAACCAAGCCCCCATCCAGCCGTTTACATTGTGCTAGGTAGGAAAAAAAAAGGGAGAAATGTCAGTGATTCATTGGTTGTGTTCCAGCACACAACAACAGACAACCTCACAAAGAGAAAATATCCTTAGAGGTGCACTGAGAGATTTTCCTTTCCTGAGCCTGCCAGCCAAAATGCTGTTAAAGTCACTTGAGCTGACACAGGGGCCCCGTGCCACAACATATTTGCCACATTACACTGTTTGTGTTTTATCCTCTGCACATATTTCAGTGCCCCTGAGGTATGAATAAGAACTGCTGCTTGAGGAAGAAAGTCAAACCCTGAGTGAAGCCATGCTGGTATTAGATTTCAGCATGACTCTTCCCCAAGCAGAGGAGTGTCTGGTTTGGAGATTCTGGCTCATGTTCATTCACAAAAGGATTTGAGGAGAGCCCATTGTTTGACAGAGTCTGAACATTCATGTGTGGCCAGGATTTTGGGTCAATGTCAAAACACAGCCCCACAGCTGTGTGCCAGCACAGCATTTGAGATAGTACTAACACAGCTTTTGCATATTCTGGGTAATATGTGGGATTCTCACCAGAACTTTTGTTTTAAAAATATTTAAATCACTTATTAAAAAGGAGCAAACATCTACATAGCCTTACCTAAAATGAACTCATTTTTCTCATCCAGCAGCTTTGCATAGGTATTGAGAAAATCAAGATAATTTTTTGGTGTGACATGATTTCTACGTCTCAGTTTCTCCAGAAATTTCTTGCTGAAATCCCCTACAGATTCATGCACCATGACTATGTGGTCAATCACTGACTGGAAGCTCTCTGGTGGGATGCGTGGGTTTTTTGCTAAAATTGGGCAGAAGAAATAAAAAGTTTCAAATATTTGTGCCTTTTTTCAGAATACACCAATTGCCATCTCTCTTATGTACATCTAAACCAGGCACAAAACAAGTCTGTTTTCTGGGGCAAAAAGCAAGGCCAAAGGGGACCTCCTGGTAGTCAGCCCACATTGTCTGCAGACTTTGGAACTTGAATTTTATCAATTTTAAAAATCTATTTGATTAAGAAACTACCATCCAGTGACATTTTTGACCGAGTTTTTGCATTACCCACTTAGACTCAAAGTAACAACACAATGGGAAATGCAACTGTGAAATGTACAATAATTGCAAAGTAAAGAATATATTTCTTAGGCTATGCCAAGGACTAATGGGTTGAAATACTGACATGTTACATACCCAGAAAGGACTGAGCAACTGCACACAAGGCCTGGGCAGGCCAGGGCAAGAACCAGTCAATACCAGTGTTGTTGACAAGACCTTAAAATAAAGCACAGTGTTACCTGAAAAATTCCTTTGTAAAATTAACCCCTAATCAGATAGGCAATCCTCTAATTAACTTTATTTACACCAAGAATTTGCAAATTAGTCTTGACTCTTTCTTAGTAACAGAATTTACCACAAAGTCCATACTTTGATTTTGGCAGTAAATAATGAGCTTTGCCCCTGTGTCCTGCTAACCCCACAGGACCATTCCTTAGGCTCTACAGAACACAGTCAAGAGCTGCAATAAGGTTTTGTAGGGCCTGGTTTAGCATTCCCACCTGGACCCATCTTTCATGAGTCTCTCCTGTTTCCCAGGACTCCTTTCAGCCACCTGCAGGATCTGCCAAGCTTTGGACACAAAAGATTTCTCTTCCCACCATCCTAGTTTCATGACCTAACACCACACTTTCTGCTGTAAACTACAGAAAAGAGGCTGCAGACAAAGGCTGTGTATTTCCAGTTCAGTGAGGATGACCAATTGATTTCTAGCTCTTCAGCTGGAAAATGAACCGATGTGATAAATGCTAATCAATATTGGTCACTGATATGTGGTAATTAACTGGAAAAAAAACATGCAATGCAAACCCTTAATCATGAAACCTACTCTGCTTAGTTTTAGCTGCCAGACTAAGTGCTCACTGGAGGTTTTTCTCTTGCCTGTAAATCTGTGTTTCACAGGGAAGGGACTAAGCAGTGTGTAAAACTGATACCTGGGAAATTCCTGCACCACGTTCTCAGGTCCTCCCCAACTGGGGACATTCCCAGGACAATGTGAAGGTTGCTTGCACATTTGCTTACAAAATACTGCCAGATACTCTCTTTAGCTGGGCCCATGCCAGCTTTAGCAGCTTCTTCTCCAATCTGAGTTAGTATGGAGTCTTTTTCATCATCTGCATAAAGGGCTGGCACCATTCCTGTAGCATAAGGACAGAAGAATGCTAGTGAGAACCACCAGTAAGAGGAAACCATATGGCTGGGGATAGGGCAGATGAGAAACCAATTTTAATCCTAGTTCTGCAAAAATGATTCTGAGTAGTTTTGAAGGAACCAATTCATCTCTCTATGCTTCTCCTCCTCCCCATAGTCCTCATGGAAAATAGGTCATACTTGGGATTTAGAGGAACAATTAATTAATTTTTCTTTGGGCTTCAGCAACATATACAAAATGTCACAGGACTTTGCAAAGAAAATCTTCATTAGTATCTGTGAACCATCAGCTTACATTTCTGTTCTCTCAATCTGGTGGCAAATCCTGCATAAGTAACCTAATGACAGACCAGGGACAAGGAAAACTAGAACAAGAAAAGGGGTACAATTAACTCATCTGTTCTCATATCAGACTGTGGAGGAACTTCTATAGAGAGGGTGGTCACACAGTGCCAGCTGCTACTCATTTCCAGCTGCTTCATTTGCTAGAAGATACCAAACTACATTTCAGGACATATACATGAATATACAAATGAACAGTTGCTGCAGTTCAGGTGAATGCTGTTTAAAAGCCAATTGGATAACAGGTGGGTTTGTGGCCAAATGCAGCTGAAGTTTCCCTCAGTCTTGGAAGAAATCAGGGACTCCTGCAGCATCATCACCAGCATGAATGAACCCAATAACCTCTCCAGAGACAAAAATGACTGTAAGAAGATTCCAGAAAGCCGTTATTAAGGCCGAGATCATTTCAGGTAGTACTGAAAAGTGTAACTAACTAAAGCAGCAGAGGACACAGGGTGAACCAGTATTAGCTGCATCAAGGGTACAGCTGAGATTATGAGTCACAAGCAGAGAGGCTGCCAGTGGCACCTGAAGTCAACATGTTGTTGATGAGTTCCAGGAAACTCTCTTCTGCCACATGGCCATCTGTAAACAAGAAGACCACTGACTTGTCATAAATACCCAGCTTCTCGTACAAACTTTTCAAATCTTCTCGGAAATTATTTTCTCCGTATCCTCGACTCAAGATGATCTCAAATACCTAAGGATGAAAACATACACTGAGAAGACACAGATGGAACCAAGACATGATGGTAACTCTGAATTTCACTTAGACTGAATCAAGGGGTTGGTTTGGCCCCAGTCATCAGTAAATGTTTAAGTATCAATAAAATCGTGCATTTGTACAACCCTGCAGGCTTGCATTATCAAAATTGTTTTGTGTTCATCCTCCTTTTTTGTTCTTTCCTTCCAAGCCTTTTTAAGTAAAGTGCCTCTGAGGGGAACATTTCCTCTCTGAAATAGTATCAATCACAACAAGGCTCCTCAAGCAGCACTGGAGTGCTGCTGTAACACATTTAAGCATCAACAGCAGTAGTTAGGGACAATTAGTTGTTCGTCACCAAACCCATCCTTGTTTTCCTTCCCCAGTGCCAAAACCCAGATTCAGGCACTGGCAGATCACACACAGTCACCATCTTGGACTTCATGGCAATCTCCTCACCTGGGGTTTCCCTCCACAGGGAAGAGCTGCCAGCCTGATCTTGTTGTCTTGATTGACTGACTCACTCCCACCCCCAGTTTAATCCCAACCACAGTTTTACTTTCCTTGTCTTTTTCCACAGTCAAGACACAGGGTCACTGACCTCACATCCAGCTGTGTGAGCAGCCAGTTTGGTCAGGGACTGCTTTCCTGAGCCTCCCACTCCGATGAGCAGGGCGTGCCCGCGGTCCATCCGGATGATGCGATGGATGCGGATTAAATGCTCCAGAGCATCATCAAAAAGAACCAGATTCATTTTAATATGGTACTCGTTGTAGTCATCCAAAATTTCCTTCAGAGAAAGATGAACAGAATGTTACTAGGAGACCAATAAAACATTAAGAAAATAGCCCGTTCAGCAGCATTATTCCTTTCCCATTCCTCAGGGAAAATGAACTATTGGAAAACACTGCTGACTCTGTAGCTGATCCTCAGTTTTCATCACTGCAAATCCCAAATGGGCATTGAAGCACATAAAGTTCTGTGTGCACACAGAAGAGAACAGATTTCCTGCAGCTTGAGGCAGGCTCCCGCCCGTTCCTCAGTCACAGTTCCCAGCTGATGCACTCTACCTTAAAGAGAGCTTTTGCTAATTCATAATCTTGGATATCTTCATAAATACGAGGTTCTGCCTCATTCAGTGCTGTTCTGAAATCTCCAAAAAGAATCGGATCCCTCATGACGTGCTCCAAGTGATCAGCGAAATGCTCTTCAACCAGGGTTTTTATATGGCCTTGTACCTTCATGGACATGAAATGAGTCAGGCAACACAACAAAGCATTTGATTGTGAATCCAGTAATACTTAAAAAGGTGATAATGCAGATTCTTGCCCAAACACTGATTTATTTCAAGGTGATACTTATGTCACTAGAAGATCCAAAGATTACACCCCCTTGTGTGTCCTATGTATGATATAAAATGATCTAATAGGCAGTTCAAGAATGGTTCAAGCCAGTTAACTGTGGAACATCAAAACAAAAAGGAAGAAGCCTGTTCAATAAAATACCTTCTCATATATTGGTGTAAACAGTATATTTATGAACTTCCCTTTTCAGCATTCATAGATGTCTCACCAGAAAGATCTCTCACAAAGTTTCAAAGTCTGCATTAATATTCTGCATTGTGAAAATTGAGCTGGAGATGTATCTTTGTACGTTAGAGGAGAAAGTTTTAACTAGAAAAATCTGAAGCCTCTTGGTCTACATCTTGTCATCTAAGCAGCTTCCAAAGCAAAGCAGGTTGCTTAGAGATGAGTAGACTTTATATCAATTTCTCTCCTAAATCTTAAGGTTTAAAATTTGCATTGTTCTCTTTTGTGTTTAAAGATATAATTTGAAGCACTTTCCAATTTACATAACAGCCAAAACTAAATTCACTGTGTAAGAATTTGGCTTTTATCCTTTTTACTACTTGATTGTACAGCCACATTCTGCTACAACCCTTCCTGAAGGAAAATACTGACTTGAAGTGATTTCCTGAGTTTTCTCCTATGCTTCTTTCACACTCTGTCAGCTGTACTTCTGCCAATCAATTTTCCTGGACAGGCAAACCAAGTGATACTTTCCATTCCTTCAGCAGATCTGCTTTCTTAGTCTGCCCACATTGTTTTAGGAAAAAGTCTTCCATGGGCCATGTTTTAAATTAATGAGCAACATATTGCTAACACCAATCTGCAGTCAGACAGCAAGACCTGAGTCCAATGCTTGGTAGTGTTGCTGTTGCAAATTAATTGCCTTAATAATAGTCAGTGACTACTAAAAAACTGAAAGAAATTACTCACCAATTCTTTGTCTGCTTCATTAATCAGCCTGTCATGGAAAACCCTCAGGCACTCATTTCTCCAAACTCTCACCATCTGGGTCACTGTGTGAAACCTGAAATAACATCAAAATATCAGTCTGCACCAAATGAGCTGACACGATTCCTAAGGCCATATGGTTAATAACAAGGACCAAATTCTGGATTGACCCTTTCACTCTTTATGATTTAGTTCTTTTGCATTTTTACCTCTGGTATCTTATTTAAGAAAGACTAATGCTTCAGTGTTTGGCATAGAGATTAAGGTCACAATTTAGGATGTTCTATTTCTCATTGTGTTTGGCATAGAGATTAAGGTCACAAATTTAGGATGTTCTATTTCTCATTGTGGTTTAATGAAAAGTGGCCAAATGTGACTGATTTCCTGTACCAAATTACCTCAATTTCATTCAGATTCACCAAAAAAAAATAGGTGTGGAACCACTAATGACAATTTTTCTACTCTTACCTTTCTGCATCTGTAAGAACAAGTCCATTATAGACCCTGGAAAGATCTCGCAGGTTAAAAATGTAGTGGAATTTGGAAGGAGTAGGCGGCAGGTCAGTAACAATCCTTTTATAAAGTTCCAAAGTACACTGAGTGATCTTGTCAGAGATGGCTGATATGGACTCATTAAAGTTCTGCAAACATGAGAAAGAAAAGGTGTTTTCATGAGACTGCCCAGACAGAATTCAATGCTGTTAAACATAATCTGCTTTCCAGCTTTTAATCCTGTTTGGGTCAACAATTCTCTGTAGTATGAATATTCTGCAATTAAATGTTTAGGGCAGGCTCTGTCTTCACTCTGGAACCTTCTGAGTGTACAAGATAACATCAAACTCAGTGACTGGAATTCCTACAAGATTTCTATAGCAGAATAATTAAACTGCTCTTTTCTTATTTAATGTTGCAGGTACCTTGCCAGTAATGCAGTCTGTTGCATTATATTACATTTTTCACACTCATTCCAGAAAGAATTTTCAGATCTTTGTGTATTTGCCTAAAGGAACTGTAACCAAGTCATTCACACATTTCAACAAAAGAAAAGCCCCAGGTTTATAAATTATATGCTAGCTTGAATGTTTACATATTACACAAGAACTTATCTAAACAATGTAAAATCCACTGAGAAAGAGAAGGGGAAAGAAAAGGTTTGTGTGAGATTCTAGGTACAAAAAAAAAAAAAAAAAGGTAACAAAGATTTCAGGTCTTGCAACAACGTAGAAATAAATGCCTATTTAAAAATGATACACCTGTTGAGTAATCCTTTAAAAACAGTGAAATTACCGCAGTGTGGCCTTTCAGGATGGAGAAGTAGATCAAATTCAGTGATTGCTCAGAAGGAAAAGGGACGTTAAAAACACTGAAGAGTGAGGTGAATCGAGGGTCAACTTCATTCCGACCTCCTCCAGCTTTGCCCATGGCAGCAACAAAACCCAGGTCTCGAAGAAATTTAATGTTCATCTCTTTACCACGATCGTACATGAAACCTTTCTCTAGCAGCAGCTTCAGCAGGGCAATGGGTTGTTGTGTGCCATACTCATCAACCTGCAGGATACACAAGAGTCAGGACACATCAGAGCACAGTACATCACCTCATCAATTACTGCTTTCAGTGTGGGAATATTGGGTTCCATTCTCAGGAGAACATTACAGGGACTAAGGGACAATTTGTAAAGCTCTGGCACTGTTTGTGAACACTCATCCCAGTGTCTCCTCTGGGAAAAGTGCCTCTTCTCTGAGACAAATTAAATGCACACTGAACTTGTGATTGGAAGGATATCAGTACCACCCTAAATGTTTCTATAATACCTGGCAAAAATATTGACAGCTTACCCTTGGCATATTCATATCATCCATGAACACAAGGAGACGTTTTCCCATGGGAGGGCCAAAACTGTCCTTAGTTCGTTTTTCTACGTTTGTCTCCAGGTTTCTCTGAATGTCCATGGATGTTGTACGAGAAGAGAAGTTAATTACCAGCACCAGCTGCAAACAGGAGATGATAAGAATGGATTCTAACCTGTTTTGCTGGGGTTTTTTTCAATCAGAGTATTCAAAAATATTTTTTATATTAGCTGTCAGACATACAGGAAATGCTGCTCAGGTCCACTACTCACTTGAATTACATGTGACAAAGAAAAGTAAGCCTGCCCATAGCACTTTGACAATATATTTTTACTTTATATAATTGAGTCTGTACAAGGTAAAAGAGGACAAAACATCTTTGATCTGGAAGGATTTTCAAATCAGCCACACACTTTGGGTCTGGAGGTTGCAGTCACATTACCCTAGTCAATATTGCAACCCACAGACTCAGGCTTCACAATGCAAATTTTACACAAGGGCAAAGAATGAAAATGCAGCTTCAGAAACAGGGCAAAATGCCTCACACATACATTAAGGTCTTTGTCCAGATTGCTTAGGAAGTTCTGTGTAGTTGCTGTCTTAGATGTACCCGATTCACCTACAAGAACAACTGGACGTTTCACTTTTACCATCTGTCCCAGTAACCAAGCAGTGCGTGTGGTATCCACTGTGGGCACTGAAAAAGAGCAGGAACACAATCCCTGGCTAAATTAAAATGCACTACAGCTGGGGGATTTATATTTATAGAATAGTGCTGGAACACACTCTCAAGGTATTAACATGCACTTGCACAAAGACATAATCTGAATTATCAATTCACTAACAATGCTGAAAGAAAATTTTAATTGCTTAACCATCTCTTTTCAGTCTTTGTCATTGGGATCTTTTCTTCCATATATATAGACTAAAAAAAGAAGTTATCTTTCATATAGGAGGGCCATGGTTTGATTAAGCTCCATTTAATCCCCATTTCAAGGATATAATCAGGATTTATTTGGATCATAAGCATTTTCCCAGAACTCTACAGATATGAATTTTTTTCTACATGAATTGCCTGCATTTGGAGCAACTTCAGAGATCATAAATTTATCTCTCATGTCAAGGAGTTAACCTGTGCTTGCTGCAGTATCACTGTATATTAATGTGCCCGAATTTGTCTTTAACTATGAAAAGCACCATTAGGCAATGCTTCAAGTAACAACCAATAGCAGCCCTAAGAATGTAATGTTTATCTACTGAATACCTGAACCACAAGCTGATGTTTTCCTAGAATTTCTGGTAGAGCAAACTACCAGAAAGAGCAGAGTGAAGAGTGAATCTTCTGCTATTCCAGCTTTTAAAAGGCATTATTAGCTTCTAAATAAGCTTTATTGACTGAAAAGTGCTTTCATCCTTTCTTCGCTTTTTTACTACACAATGCTGTAAACACCAACTTTATGACTGCTAAATTACTATGAAAGAACTAAAGAAACTGATTTGTGCCATCACAAGAAACTGAACCTGAGCAGATGACCTTCAGCACAGAATAAGGATGTGTCATTTTAAGAGGCCATGCACTCAGTGGTGGCACATTATGAATTAAAAGCACATCATCACTCTATTTTATCTTATACTCACCTAGAATGTCAAGAAATTTCCTTTCAGGATCATGAATATACTCAGGAACAAGTTGCATCCAAGGTACCCACTTTTTTTGAGATACATCAAAATGGAAGTCATACAAAGTTGACAGCTGACCTGCAAACCATTAAGCAACTGCAAGGTTTTTAGGACACTGAAATATTTCCTAAGAAAACAATCTGATTGAGATGAAAATGAAGGGTAAGATTATAGACCAAGTTGGGCAACACTTTGTTCTATTTACAAGTCATTTAACCCACTAAGTAATAAACCAAAATTCTTCTACTCTAGCACCTTCATGAAAACTAACACTTTTCTATTACAGCGAGTGGCATTCAGATTAAATTATGACAAGATCTTACCTGGCAGCTCCCCTGGCTTAGCCAGCACGTCCTCACCCTGAACAATAGTCATGCAGGAAATACGTTTAACGTTTTCATCGAATTTAATTCTCCCAGCATCAAGAAGAGAAGCACCTAAGGAGCAATACAAAGCTTCCAAGAAAATACACTCCAGAACATCAGGATTTTCAGGCTGTTCAAGTAGAGCATCCAGCATCACAGTCAACTGCACGGTCTGTTGGAAAAAGGACAAATCTGTAAAGAAAATTGCCCTTTAGATGCATGAAAACTCTTAATAGTTTTCAGCTGATAGCTGGCCTTTTGCTCACACAGGTGGATCTACTGCTGTATGTGTTAAGTTCAGTAGAAGAGCATTGTTAGGTGGAGATTGGTTTGGTGTCTCTGTGTGCTCATCAGTAGGAAACTGGTATTTCAGCAGAGACTCTCCTGTTCTGTCTTTGGGAAGATTTTACTTTCCCCATCATTCCATTTTCTTCTTAGTTAAACATGTTCAATCTTTATTCTCTGTTTCTTACCATATTTAGATCTGTTTGAGGAATAATGGTCTTCAGCTTTCGTTCCTGTTTGCCATCCACAATTCCCTCTATAATCATATCAATAAGGTAAGGCACGTACTTTTGAAAGAGACGATCTAATTCCACTTTCTCTTCCTAAGGAACACAAAAAAGACAATAGTTCAGCTGGAAAGAAATATTTTGACAGCAGAGCTTCCCATCAATACCTGGCTGACCAGATATGATTGTTCTTGAAGGAATCAATTCTACCAAAGACTGTCTACACAGTTCAATACAAACACTGTGAACAAATGCAGAAATTCCCACCTCATTTTCTCTTCTTTTAACCCACTTTTGCCAGTAGGGCTCATATCTCAGATTTTTAGGATCTACAAAAACCATTCCACAGCGGGATACTGTGGCAGGAGATGCATACTGTAAGTCTCCAACCTATAAAGGAATCATACATGATAAAGGTAATCAGTAACTGCTTTTCAGGCTTTGAAGCCCCATCTGTATCTAACCCCTCCTGTGTATTAAATGGTACAATCATTTCTTACCTCAAACAGCAGAGCACAGTGTGCCTGAAGCCTAATCCTCTCCCCGTTTGCCAGGGTCAGTAACTTGTTGTCATCCATGACAGAATTCATGTTTTCAACCCACAGAGCATCCACATCTCCATCAAAGAGAATGTACCTGTGTACAAGAGCCATGGGGCACTGACTGATGTCTGATTTTCCTAACATATTTCTGAATTCAGAACTGTCAACAATGGTGTCATTGTCAGTCCAGGTATTTTGAAGTCTACCATTCATATTTTATAATTGCATAGTTTTACTGAGACTAGAAACTCACAGGAGACAGAAAGACTTCTGGACATTTTCTATTCATTTAGCATTTGTTTTTTTAAATAGTGCCATCTAATTTTTTTTTAATTGCTGTAAACCCCAGGATCTCAAAACCACCACTGTGATTCCTAGCTGCCTACCTTCGCTCTTTCTTGTCAGTGGGTCTGTTGATATCCCGAAAAATGTTTGACAGGACTCCATCTGTCCAGTCTCGTGAGACAGGGTCAAGGATCCCATACAGCTCAATCACACTCATAGCTTTAGGGTTCAGTGTGTAAAGCTTTGTCAATAATCCCAGCCTAAAGATACAGCAAAAAAAGCAATAGTAAAATGTCACACTATCATCTCATGTTAATCCAAGCAAATACTCTGGGCAGCTCTTGATTCTGTCATGGCTGGACAGGGCTGAGTAATACAGACTGTGCTATTTTACAGCCTGGTTCACATTCTACACTCACTTGTTTTGGGCCTGGCACAAGGTTTTAATAACAACTGTCTTGCCACCTCCAGTAGGTCCAACCACCATTGTAGTGTGACGAGTTAACATTGTCTCATACATCTGAACTACTTTATCCACCTGAAAAATAAACATGGATTCAGTAGATTACTGTCATAACTCTGTGGACAAGTTTAGGTCTATATCAGATAACTTTTCCTGGATCCACTCCAGGGTGCAACAATGCACCTACAACCTCACATTTGCTACAAAACCTCAAGCAATTAACATTTTTTATACCTGGACTGGCAGAACAACATAACCCCGTTCTTCCAGCACTTGTTCTACAGCATCATTAAGGTCAGGGTAGCGGACTCGAGGGCAATCCAGGCCAGGAAACAGGTCAGAGATTAGGCCAAGGAAGAGAGGTACATCTTCAAACACAAATTTAGGAAGATTCATATCTCGCAGAGCTCTCATTAGTACAACATCCTAGACAAAACATAGCAAAATCAATCTTTACCAAATACTTATCAGCTAAAATGAGGTACTTCAGGACTTTAAATCTTTAAAAACTATTGCTCAATTATTTCAGTGCAGCTTTTAGAATGTTTTTTTGTCATCAGTTCCTAGTGGAAACAACAGAGGTTATTTTATATGGATTAAGCATAACTAAGAATAATATACTGCCTTTTTCTACCATGTTATTCAAATGCCAAATGGCTGCAGTGGCCCACACCACAGCTTCCCTGAGCTGGAGCACTCACTGCTCAAAAACCAGTTTTGCTAGTAATCCAGAGATATTCATCTGGCTATTTACATCCTGGACTTAACAAGCAGGAAAATATCTCATTTTCCATAGATTTCCCTACTTTGACTGAAGTTCTATTGGCAGAAAGCACAAAGAAACTCAGTAAGAACAAAGGGAAATAATAAGACAAATAACACCAATGTTCCTATTTCCAAACCAGACAAACTACATCAGATGGAGAAACACATTACCTTTCTAATGAAAAAAAGATTATATGCCCAAGGTAACTAAGCAGCAAATCTACCTCATCGAGGTCTGCTGATCCTCTTTTCAATTCTCCAGCCATTACCAACACTGACTTAAGGGCCCGCAGTCCAAAATCATAGTGATGTTGTTTAGAAAGCTGTTCCCTTGCCAACTTGTACAGCACTGTCATCTTTTTGGCAAGGACCTGTTTGATATTTAAATTAAATGATCACAAATGTGGACATTGCTACTGGCCATGCAAACATGAGTGGGTACATGGGTATGGGTAACAATAGAATGTTCTTACCTTTGCTGTAAGGAAGCCTTCAGAAAACAGCATTATTTCACAGATCTGCTGAAGATCTGGTACAATAACAACCACAGGCCTGAAGAGAGCTTTTACAGACTCAGGGAGCTCAGTCCGACCAGCATAACCAGGATTCATTGTAATGAAAATGCCAATACGGCTGTCAAGGGAAATCTCCTGTCCTTCAAACTAAAGGCAGAAGAAAACATTAGAACAATGTGAATCAGGAACTAAAAAAAAAAAAAATACTATTTACTCAAAGAGAAAACCAATAATACTGGGGCACCCACTTAGGACAAAGTGCTAAAATTTTAGCATTAGAAAGTCATTGTGATACAAACAATGGGATGAATGCACTTTCTTTAAGATATTTTACAAGCCTCAAATTTTCTGTCTGACTTGTTTTAATTCCAATAAGCATCAGTAAATAAAGCCTCAGTAAATAAAGCCTCACAATCCACATCAGGTTAAATTACGGCTGTTCCTCATTACTACTAGAATATTACCCCATTTACTTGCTATTATCCTATTAAGATCACTTTTATCTCACTTCACAAAGGAACCACCTAGCAAAGGATTAGGCAATCAGCAAGGATTTAACTTTCAAGCCGAAAGTACATACTCAGGAGTTTGAAATGTTCAGCACAAATAAAAAACAGAAGCACCAGCCCTTTGATCTAATGATGGGGTCTAACCCTGTATCTTGCTCTGAAAACCAAGATTAGCCTTCACAATTACTCCTCTTTTTTAAGGTTTACCTGAAATCTTTTCCACCCATTCATTAAAGCATTTCGGATCGTCTGAATCTGGGAAGAAATGACTGAAAGCACGGAAGCGTCGATGCGATTGAATTCATCAAAGCATCCCCATGCACCACACTGGGCGAGGCCTGAGAAAATTTTACCCATTGCCTAAAAGGAGCAACAAGAAAAACTTCTCAGCAGTGACTATATAAAACATTCAGCGTCAAAAAACTTTGGAACACGCTAAAATACTTAATGGTGGATAAACCTCTAATAATTACTTGCCAAGTGCAGATTGCCTATCATAAACTTAAACACATACCATACAGTCATTGCTCCCCTTCTTGAAAAGGCCCGAAATTCCTTCAGGAATTTATTCAAAATCGACACTTTTTACTAAATTTAATCATCAAACAGCGTGGTATCTCTAAGGGAGATACTTATGTAGAAGTTCAGAGTATGTCCTGATCCTGGGCACTGATAAAGAGCAGAAATTGGCATTTTATCAGAGAACACAGATCTTTAGCTCTTACTTTGAAGTCCATGCCTTCTCCACAGTTTGTCACTATGCACAACAAGCCCAGTGCTTTGGCCAGATCCTTGGTTGTTTCTGTCTTCCCTGTACCCGCTGGCCCTGCTGGTGCTCCTCCCAAAAACATCGACAGAGCCTTTGAAGACAAACCAAAAAGCAAAGCACAGCTCGAATTAGATTTATGCTAGGCTGGTAACAAAACCACAAATGAATCCTTGGGTACAAAAAACTTTAAACTTTGTGAACGCCTTCTACATTGTCTTTGCAGCAATGAGGTGAGAAGGATGTCACAACTGATTTCAAACACCTTAGCGTTCACACTGGGACGCAGCAGGCAGAGGCAATAAAACCAGGATGTGCCTAAGTACAACAGGGGCTTGTTAGCACAATGTCCTTGAGGGTGCACCTGTGTGAGGGTGAGGTAGATGCGGTCGGTGAGCGGGGTGATGACGAGCCGCCCGTTGAGCCCCATGTACTCGTAGCCGTAGCAGAAGGCGCCGGTGCACTGCCGCACCATCAGCTCGTCCGGCTCGCGCTCCCAGTAAAACCGCAGCTGGCTCTCCCACTCGAACTCCTGAGCCTGCAGAATGCTGCACACAGAGCTCACGTGAGCCAAAAGGAGGGCAGTGCAACTCCCAGATCTGGTGTTTGCTGGAGGTGAGGTGGTGCTTACCTGTCTCTGACGAATATATCGATGATGTCTCTGGCGTGCACGTCGATGATGAGAACAGTGTTGTATTTTTTCCTGTCATTTTTGCTCAAGGGCGTCATAATGCGGGTAACCAGATCATCAATTTGCTTATGCATTTTTTTAGCATAAAATTTCATTGCCTGCTTTTCTCCCATTTTCACTTTCCGAAAGACATCCTCTACCTCCCAAGTCCACCACACTTGATTAGCAGCAAGCACCATCATGCCTTGGAAGAGCAACATCCAATCAACCCTAGGGAAAACACATACAGTGAGGGAGGCTGAGTTATTGTTTATTTTAAGTAGCTGATCAGGAAAGGAAAAAAAAACCCACAACAACAAAAAAGAGGTTTCTCCTGTACCTGCAACAGCTACAACACAAGCCAAACTTTTCAGAGATATACAGAATTCTATCAAAGTAACCTGGGGGATTTCAAAAGCCTAAGAAATATTCTGATATAAAAGCTGTTTGTTCCAGATATAAAATTTCCAAGAGGTATTCATTGTGAGAAAAACTTACTCAACACACAACACCAAAAATAAAACTCAAGATTTAGGAAAATAAATACGAGAGATTAAGCATTCTTCATGGTTGGTTAAAATAGTACATGTGAATGTATTTGTATCCCTCCACACAGAGAAATACAGACTAAATTGCGCAGGAATTGTATAATTATGCCTTAACTTTTCTATATCACTAACACATCAGGTTATCTGTGTTATCCTTGGCACTGATTGTTTCACCTGCTTCTGTCTTCACAATATCGAAAAATGGCTTCCTTGGTGAGGCGTCGGTTGGTCCGTCTCATTTCCTCCAGCACTACTGTCATCCAGTTCTCCACTCTGCCCACAGCAGGGACGTCCTGCCGGAAGCCCATCACCTCCCCCTCAGCTGAGATCATGGCTGTGGCAATCTTCTCGTCATTGTCACCGTCCCTGAACCTCAGCGAGGCTACATTATCAAACATCTGAAATGCACCAACAAAGAAATTCACCGGCATTTTAGAAACAAAGCCTCCAAATGTAAGTGTATGCAGCCCCAGCTCTCCTCCAGAGAGATGGATCTGACTCCTAAGTAAACAAACACAAATGCTGATGTATAGCCCAGCAGCAGAACTGCAGAATAACAAACAAATAATCAGGCCCAAATTACATTGATTTTTTTTTTTTCTAGAAAATAAGAGCTAAGAGGAGCTACAATCTATGAGGGAAGTTCTTTAATGAAAGATCACTGGTGTATCTTGAATGTTCCTCTCCATAATTGCTACCAACCAGTGTGAGAGGCAGCAGAGACTGTGCAGATTTGATCTGGTTATTTAGAAGCTTCTCCAAGATGCTGCCAAGATTCTCCTTGCATGCAAAAAATATTAATGCATCCTTATGAGCATATACAGTACAGTCTGTTAAACTTTTTAAAGCATCTAAAAGCACAAGGCACTGTGGAAAGCCAGACATTGTACCTTTATCATGTGCTCCTGTACACAGAGTGCACTGCTGCTGCCAAGGATACTGAGCAATTCATCATCAGATATAAAGAAAAATCTCGGGAAAGCATTTCTCTTGGAATTCAAATAATCGTTCAAGCTTTTCTGGCATTTCTCCAGCACATTGTTTATATGGTGGAGGTCTGACAGACGATTTGGGACTTCACAGCAATTTTTTATTATTGGGTCTTTTACAGTTTCTTCCATTATCTATACAGGGAGAAAAGGGAGTTTAGAAAATGTTGAACAGCAATAGGTTATAATAAATTATATTTAATTAATGACAAAGCAGGCAAACAGCACAAGCAGTACAGGTCCTTATAGAAGTGAATTAAAGGTTTTGAAATGGTTTTGTGGTGCTGCAGTGCTGTATGAAAACATGAAGGTAGTGTGTTTATGGAGATACAACTGTAAAAGCAAGTGTAAGCCAAACAAGCCTGTATCCCCAATCAGACCAGCTTAAGCACATACCTGACTCTGCTCCTGTACACAATGGTACTTCAAGGAGTGATCAAACATCATATTTCAAAATCACAGTACTCTCTCAGTTTTGCACATGGGAAAGTAAGTAAGCCATATCCATACCAGGAATATGTGTCCACTATGGAAACAGTGGCATGAAGCAGGAAAGCCTTTTTAGCATGAACACAGGTCCTCAATCAACAGGAACACATCTAAGCTTCTTCTTATCAAGGTAAAAGTAAAAAGTTGTAAACAATGGAAGGAAAAGGAGATTCTGCCTCCTCCATGCTGCCAGCCAAAGATCTCACATCTGCCCATCTTAGCTAAATCAGGAGAAGTCTTCTGGTTATGACAGATGTGAAGTAAACCAGAAAATTCCTGGGATCCCTAATCTCATATTCAATTAATTATAGCACATCATTCTCAGTATTATTACATGTCACAAAAGACTATAAGTAACTACGGAACTGGAAGTAAAATGTACTAAATATGCTGATCACAAGTCAGTTACTTGCCTGTTTAAACATTTGGTCTACACGGTCAAATATCTTGACTTCTTCTGGAAGCTGTGATCTGATATCTCCAGAAACAAAAATGCTCTCCAGGTACATCCATTTTCTCTGAACTGATATCCAGATCTATGAATCAAATGTTACCATCAGAGGAAACAGAAATACAATGGAAAATTTGGATTACAAATAACAAACATGAATTATTTAGTCCAGCATTTTCCTCCTACCTCGCTTACTTCACTAATCAATGACAGAGTTTTTTCCCATTTTTGAGCAGTTGAAAGAAAAGGACCCACAAAGCGACTGCCCAAAACACTCTGAAGATTGACATTGTTGTCATCAAGAGTCTCTAAAATTTCCTCTACAGATCCCAGAATAAAGCCTCGTGTCTCGGTGCCTTTGGTGTACACTTCTACAGGGAATTTCATGTTTTCCCACGTTTCTATTATTTCCTTAATTCCCTGAAAGTGAACAGAAAAAGATGTATATTTCAGTCTTCAAAAACTAGAGGTCTATAATCTTACCAAAAAAATGAAACAGCTAACCCAGCTAAATTTTTGCTGATTTTCTAACTCTGGTTTATAAAGAAGCAATCTATTTCAAAGAATGATAGCAAGAGAATTGATCCTTCTTCAGATCCATTTTCATAGGACAAACTTTCTTATTGTAATCATAGAATCCAATATGCTGCTGCCAAATCCATTTCTGCAAGGATCCTGTGCCAGTAGGAGCTCATTAACAGAGCTATAAATCCTAGCTCATGTACCTCAGGGCAGCTCCCTGAAGATGGCCAAACTTGCAGTCATGCCAATTTAAAAATCTTAAATAAAATTGATTGTTGTCATCTTTGTCTTTCTAGTTTTACTATGATTCTATAATCCAATACATTACCTTCTCAATGCCAAGTTCTTTAATAGCAGTTCCAACTATATCACTGATAACTACGGTGTGTTTGTGAAGTTCCATGGCAAACATATTTTCCAAAGTGAATGTTTCTGTTTTCATTTCAAACCTTGTTCCTGTTTTCTCCATAAGGTCTTCCCAATGTCTGTTTTAAATTGACATATCAGTTTAACACCATAATACAGTAAAAAACAAAAACAACTGTAACATATAATAATGAACTTATGCTTAGTATTCTGCTGTTTAAATAAGAACTACTAGTCTGAATAAATAAATTATCCCTGTCACTGCAGCACCTTTCATGCTATTACACAAGTTCACTAGGCAGAAATCAATTTCCAAGCTCCAGGACATGGCATGACCCCAGTAATGGAAAGTGAAAATTCTAACAAAACACATCAAATACTTCTATATATAGGGATATAAATAAATCAAAACAAACCTTTCTCTTAAAGCTTCATTTTTCAAATCAAGCAGCAAAGGAATGGAGTTTAGAAAAGCCTTCAGTTTTTTATCCAGTTGCTTACATATTGCCATGCCACGCACTTGTCTGGGCAGCTTCCGAACAGCTTTCAGAAATCCTTCGGTTCCATCCTGAAGAACCTTGACATTGAGGTTTATCCAGAGTGTCTGAGACCATTTCTCTTTAGCTGCCTGCAAACAAGGACATTAAGAAGGGGAAAAAAGTCAAATTACTTTTAGTTTTGACCCTCAAAACGTAATTGTATTAACATTTTACAAACATAGGGAGAGACAAGTTAATGTCTGAGACAGATTCATAGCCAAACACAATCACTTGCATAAAAAATAGTAAAGAGGTAATATGGAGAACAGGACCATAATTTACAGGGCATTTAAATTCTTAACAAATAGTTAAAGCCTGAGATACCCACTGTCACCTGCACACATCCTATATCCAAAAGTAGCTTCACTGAACTGATCAGGAACCATGTGCAGTAAAATGCCATTCAACAGTTATTAGAGGCTGGGAGAAGTCTGTTCCCATCTGATGAGAGGATTTGTTTGGTCCACCATGGAGACACTGATAGTGCTGGACTAATGATATTAAATTCATTTCACAGGGCATAGATTATTTCATGCAAAGGTTTCAGAGTTGACAGTAACCAGGGGGCAATGCAACCCCTTCTTTTGTCCCCATCTTTGCTGTGTGTCTGTGCATGGACAGGCATGTGTCCCTGCAGGCTCAATGTGACACTCACTTTTTGTTCTGCATAAATGTCATAGACTTGCTTCATAGCTTTTGCATCTTGCTGGGCTTTTATTAAGTTTGGGTACACTGTTCCTGGCAAGCCCAGAAGTTTCTCAGCACTGCCCAGTTCCCGCTGCCTTTCTTCCAATTTCTCTAATTCTTTTTCAAACATAGCCATGAGTTCTAGTCCTGAAAAAGGAGAGGGATTTTTCCAGATAAATCATCACAGGGATCATCATGGGAAATAAGACAGAATTTGCATATAGTCTGTGGATGTTCCAGAACTAAAAATGTTCACATTCCCAGCTGATGAGTTTGTATATTAATAATGAAAGCATAATTTTCTTGTTTTACATAAAATTTGAATTGTCCAAAGACTAATATTTTCAAAACATCACTTCACACACATTAGTCCATTTACCTTTATCAAGGTCATCCTCAACAACACCAGGCCCCTCAGTCAAGAGTTTCTGTAAAAAATCTTCTGTCTCTTTGCTGTAGTCCGCAATTTGTTGCTCTGTCACCTAAAAAGAACATCATCTAAACAGTTCTATTAAATAGTTTCCATTTCTAATTGTTTTCTGTACTGATTACAAGTATTACCTTTATGAATGCTTCTTTTACACCTCCTTTACAATCTAGGTTGCGAGTGATTTCTGCTGCTTCCATAAGGAGAGTCTCCCACACTTCCCTCAGACTGTCAGACTTCTCTTGCTCTTCTTCAGGTACCTAAAACAAAACAAGTAGCACCTCTCACAAGACACAAATAGACACACACTTCCACAAGAAAGTGAGGAATATGTGCTCACATTACAAATTTGCAAAACACAAAACCAATACTGAAGTGACCTTAATCAGATCTAAACACATGCCATATGTCCATTTTAAAGTGGGCATAGTGATTTGAGAAAGGAGTAGGGACTACAGAGTCTCCAGACATCCCTTCAAACCTCAACAACACTGTAATTCTGTAACACATCTTAAAAGGAAAACATTTCTTCATTCACAGGTGAGGCATTTGTGCCTTTAGCTCAGATCTGAAAGGTTTGATGAGACATGCACTTACTGGAATATTGTACAATGCAAGAGTTCTGTATCTCTCCCCAATGTCCAAGTATCTCAGTTCCACCTCAACAGCAATGTCTCTGATCACTCCAAATGCACTCAGGACAACTCTGAGATCATCCAGGGTTTCAGGGGGTCTATTCAGATTCTCTGATAATTTCTGTAAAAGGTAAAGACCCTTTCCAGAATCAACACTGAGAAAGCAATTGTCAGAATTACAATGAGTCAAACACAAAACACAAATAATATGCCAGATTCATTTCTTAGTCTGTGTGAAAAAGATAAAAAAAAAAAAAAAAAAAAAAAAAAAAAAAAAAAAAAAATAAAAAAACACCCAAAACTTTATCTGATAATTTCTGTAAAAGGTAAAGACCCTTTCCAGAATCAACACTGAGAAAGCAATTGTCAGAATTACAATGAGTCAAACACAAAACACAAATAATATGCCAGATTCATTTCTTAGTCTATGTGAAAAAGATAACAAAAAAACCAAACTGAAAACACCTACCTGAATCTCATCTTGAAGGCTGAAGAGTTCCTCCCTTGCTAATTTATTAAGTAACTTCCCAAGTGACATCATCCAGCTTTTAGCATTCTCCTGCACTGCAGAGGCTAAAGGAGCCAGCTGAAGCCTGATAAATTGTTCATCTTTAATCAAGGGACATTGAGTCACTTCCTGAGCTACCTTCATATAGAACTGCAAGTGCTCATCAAAGACAACATAGCGAGGCTTTTCTGCAGCTAAACGGTCCAGGACTGCACTTTTGTCTGATTTCCACAGCAGGTCATACTTATTCCATTGGTTCAAACACTTCCTGAGAGATGCCAGGAGGTTTTGGACATTCTGAGTGATGAGAACAGCCTGTTCAATTACCAGAGGGCTCTGGGAGACATCACTGTAAAAGCTGAAAGTGACAACTTCATCCACCCTGACGTGCTGAGGAGGGCACTCAATACACGTACCGTGCATCCATCGTATGAAGTGCTGCAGAGGTTTAAAGACAGGGTCAAAAAAACAGTTGCCTTGTTGAATCAATTCATTTAAATCATTCATAGAATCAGCTGGGTTGAAAAGCCCTCTAAGATCACTGAGTCCAAGCAGTCCAGCACTGTTAAGTCACCCACTAAATCACACATGCCCTCATGTGCCACATCAACACATCCTCCAGGAATGGTGACTCCAGCACCTCCCTGGGCAGCCTGTTCCAATGCTTTCTTCCCTTTCAGTGAAGGAGTTCACCATTATTTAGTACACAAAGTAGGAAGTGGTATCAATGACTTCTCAAATCAATTGTTTTTCTGACAGCAAAAAAAGATCACACTTTCCCATCAACTTGAGAAGAGTTCATTTCATCCTAACAAAACTCTTCCATGCATTACTCAATCTGCTTCTAAAATCTCTTTTGATTATAGCATGACAGAGAGGAAAAGGTATTGGCTCAAACAGTCTGAATGCAGCAGTAGAGAACAACAGCAAACCTGAGCACAAAAAGCACATTTAAACTAAATTTATTCATTTAAAGTGACATCTGGAATCATTTGTCCATCAGCAGAGGGCAGGAACACTGTCACATTATTTGGCTTCTTTTCAGGAAAGCAGTTCAGTGTGAAACTATTTTTGCAGGAAAATATTGTTACATCATTGCCAGTTAAGTCAGATACCTAATCTAGGTAATTTGCTGTCCTAGATGCCTTTCTCCAACATTTTCTGAACTGTTTTTTTCTGCTGCTTCTAATGTAATATAATGTAGAGGAGGTCACTCATGTTCCTTATTCCACCAGCTTATTCATACATCAGAAAGCAACATCTGCAGTGCAATATGAGAAGTACTTCCTTCTGATATATGCTGATTTATAGAACCAAATCATGTCCTTACACTGCCAAAACTGCTAAAAAGTCATCAACAATTTTACCTAAGTAAAATTTTTTTTTCCTTGATCATCAGTTTGTAAAATTAGGACAGTCTGTACAATTACAACAATGTACTGGATATTTTGATTTCAAGATAAAGCAATATGAACCTCCCCTTTGACACTTATGCTTACACAAGCATAAAATAAGATAAGTTCATTATAATCACAAGCAAACTCTGGAAACAAAAAGAAATCTTTATCAAAAATCACCTTAGTGATCTCAACACAGTCTTGGATAGATTGCATAGTCATTTTTTCAATCTCACTGGCATTAGGTTGCAGGGTTATCTCAGGAACAGACAAAACAGCTTCTATTTGTAACAGTGGCACATTTGCAAGAACAGTTGCATTAAAAGCCTGTAAATTCCTGAGAAAGGAAAAAACCAGCATCAAAGATAGAAATAATCAGGTGCTGCCCCCCAAAAAAATGCCCCTAGAAAGACTGCAATTTTCAAGTGTATGCTTAGATCTGTAAGCTGAGTTATCATTGATCCCAGCTGGAAACACTGGTGTGTCTGGGAGAAAAACTGTCCCACTAAACTGATTTAATGCAAAAGCTTGACTTGCTAAAAGAAGCTGCTGGAAGGAATGAATGGAGGTATTTTGGTGCAAAAGGATGCAGCAACTGTGGTCAACTTCACTACAAGAGCCCAGACAAGCAATCATGGCAAAGAGATCTGAGCATGGATCAGATCACAGAACATGGATGATGGGAAGAGATGGTTGGGAAGCTTAGATAATATTACAATAGAGCTGCAATGCTGTATTGCAATAACACCTTGCTTGTAAGGGAAGCCTGTATAATTCCTTGCTCCAGCACTGGCCTCAGCCAGTGCAGAACAAGTAAATCCTTTGTTCTTGGACTCGTGTCCCATGCAGTACAGGGAGGCACCTGGCACCCAGACACCAAGTGCTGAAAATCATGTTCTTTAAGAGAACAAAACCTGGATTTTAGAGATAAACCAGGGAAGTGCAACTACACACGTTGCAGCAAAGGTGTGTTATTTCTCTATTCTGCCAACAACATGCCAATATTAATTTTTTCAGAATCTGGGTTTCTTCTGTACCTTGTTTTCAGTTCTCCATTCTTCATGAGAAAAAAATCAGTAGAAATACAAATCTTCCACAAATCCTAAGTCACTGATGGTTTCAAACAGAATGTCAGTACACACACTTATCAACAGATCCAGGAGTACCTGAAGATGACTGGAAACCCATTAAAGCAAACGATTCACTTACTTCACAATTAACTGTGTCAACACCTGATAAATCCTATTTTCCCAATATGCATAATAGGAAGCTAATTTTGGAGATTTGCCACTGTCTGTATAGGCAACTCGTCTTTCCACCTCTATTAGCAATTGTGGAATTGCAGAATACTTTCTAACCAGTTGTTCCACATCTTTTGCTTGCTCACACTTAACATAGTCAAAAAATTCCTTTGCTTCTGCAACAGATACAAAAACTGGCATTATTAACTGCAAAAGATCTAACAGTTTTATACACTGGAATAATTACCTGAGTTTTATTTGTGAACATGAAACTGATCTTACATAATGATAAAAATATCTTAACTTGTTAATGCTTAATTTATTAATATTTCATCCCTCTGAAATACGGATTTTAATTGGATTCAATTATTTAATAGCAACTTTTTTACAACTATAAAGTGTTGAAAGAAATTTGATCCATCACCCACTCAAGTGACAGAGAGATCTGGCAGACAGCCAGCTTGCTGCCATTTCCATCTGAGGAAACCAGTTCCATCCTGTGTTACACCCTGAATTACTACTATAACCAGTTTTGGTAACAATATCAAGGGCTGATCTTAGCAACTAAAACCACAAAGTAGCACACAGAGGAAAATAGAACATCAGAGAGCTTGGAAATGAAAATATAGAGACTTACCAGGACGTTTGTCACCATTTTTTGAATGTGGAAACTTAAACAGATTTGTTGATTCTATGGACCAAAGTTTGCTGCTTATGTCTTCAGAAATATGATGAACCTGATGGACAAGTAACTCTAATCTCCCAATGGTTTGTGTACACTGGACAATAAATTCACCAATACCTTGAAATAAATCAGAGCCATTTGTTATCTCTTTAACAAGTATTTCATCAATGCATCAAAATGGCCACAACCAGATATGTTTTATCTCTAAGAATGACCCAAGGTTCTGCAAAATCATAGATTAGATGTTTTCTCAGCTAATCCTTCATCTTGCTCCCTTACAGCTTTTAGCTAAGGGTTTCTAACCATCTCCACTGTTTTAAATATAATAAAAACACAAGAAATATCTCCTGGATCAGAGTTTGTCTAACCTGCTATTCTGCCCCTCTGGCAAGAGGATGGATCATATGTTCTGCCATTATAAAAAATAGACTGCAGAACTGAGGAGATTTTTTGAACGAAAAATAAACATCTAAGGCCATTTTAAAGCAGTATCTCCATTACCTACGGACTTCCACGTGAGTCTTTTGTGTCCTGCTTTCAATATTCTCCAGAGTTCTTTGACATAGTGATCAAGAAGTTTGGTTTCTGCTTCATTCATCATCTCCATTAATTTGTGATAGCGACTCAGCATGATTTTCAATTTATTTGTGTACCTAAGGATGTAAAAAACACAAAAAAACCAAAACACAAAAATTATTATTTTCTGGAAAAATGGCTACAAACTCCATCAAAGAGCAGAGAACTCCCATTGTTCTATTCAGACTTCCATATAATGCAAAATCTGCAGAACTAACCAGTGAATAGGTATTGATTATAAAAGTAATTTATTTCCCACTAAAAACAAAGAAAAGTTTTATATGGTTCCAACAGTAGTTGGACAAACCTCTTCTGCCCCATCTCAGAAAGTCATGGAGACAGCCCCAGTTTGCAGTGCATTAGTGAACTGAACAGGTGAACTTTAAAATCCATTTAGGAACTTATTGGCACATCTGTGTGCTAAATGTCTGTGATAATTTGGACATAACTGACTTATCCAAGGCTGTACAGGAAGAATGCAATAGTGTGTTTAAATGAGCTGAAATCTAAAAGTCAGAAACAATTATTTTGCAAATTATTTTCCTCTCAGGTTTGGACAAGGTGTTAATTTGTATAACAGTCCTAAGCATAAAGGATGCAAAGAGTGCCAGAGAAAAGCTGATCAGTGCAACATGGCCATTAGAAATTGTACCCTTAAAAAAAAAATAATCACTAAGGGGTCTCATGTTTCCAAAATGTGATGACTCAGGGCCTGTTCCTGGAGTGAAATCCCTTGAAAGGCAGCAATAAGCCTATATGTGAGCAGATATTCTCTTACAGCCTTACCTAAGGTATTTGTCTTCCTGTAATGCCACATATCTTGCCATTTCTGGGACTGGCAGCCCTAGCTGCTCCATGTACTTGGTTTCAGTGATAATCTCTTGGATTTCAGGAGAAAAATTCAGAGCGAAGCGGACACTTTTCCTGATGGTGACAGGCTCGTCTGTTGCAGAGCTCTACAACACAAGAAAGCAGCAGAAAAGAGAGGAGCAATAAATTTACATTACAAGGGAAAGATGAACTTTTGAAGATATTTGATAAGGAAGACTGTAATAGTCAGAATGACTGACATTCAGAGCTTGTGGAAATGCCTTTAAAATTTGATAGTAGCCTCAGCATTCTTGGTTCAGAAATTACACAGAAATTACCTTTTCAGTTGTCAATCACACGAAACAAACCAGAACACCTCTGTTTACACACTGCTGCAACCAGTTACAAGAGAAATCCCAGTGGAAATTCAGTCAGACAGAAGTTTAGTAGGAACAGGATTCTGCAAGATCTCTGCTGGAAACCTGCCTCTACCTAACTTCAGTCCCAAGTACTGTAGCAACATCCCAAAAATGTTGTATCAAAACCTAAAAATTAACAGGAACTACAACACAGAAGAACACACAGAGAAACAACATTCAATCATTTGCCAGGTGATTCAGAAACTACATCTTATAAAGGGCCACAAACAATTCTCAGCTCAGAATTTTTCCAAATCTGTGTTTAAAATATTACTCTCAGAAAATTCTCGCTGACCATCAAGCAGGTTTCATTTTTCCCCTCAGAGAAGCCTGGTACACAATCTTCCTACATTTCACCTGCTCAGAAGTCTCTGGATTAATATTTGTTGCAGCCCCATCAGTGACAAGAGTCAGTAGAGTATCTTTCAGTAGCAATGGAAGCACGTGTTCAGCCCTCTCTCTCCACTGACGGTATTTTTGAGCTTCATACTCCTCCATTTTCTTGGTCACTTGGAGATATATTTGTTGCACCTAGAAAGGACAACTCTGTATAACTCATTTTAAAGATCATGAGAAATGTTTAACTAACCTGTCCTAATATGGTCTTTCAATATGGTTGCTGGTTTTTATTAGATAAGAGAACAATATCCTGTAATTAATGCAGACATTAATTTGGAGAATTTGGGCTCTTGAATTATGTAATTGATTCCATCACTGTCTCTCTGGGAAACAGTGGGAAGGTTTCAATCCAGTTTTCACATCTAACATGGCTTGCTGTGTGCACAGTTTGGGACTTCCCCTCACATTAGAGCATTTTCACATCTCTAGAAGTGTATAACAAGTGTTTCTTCCTTCATCAAGTACCAAAAGACCCAACATACTTCCTGTCCACGTTTAGAGACAAGCAACTCCTCTTCTTCTTGGAATCGAGTAATGGTGTGTCGGATCCGATGGGAAAGGGATCGGGACCAGGATATTGCTCCAGCCACTGGAGGATGGTTCTTGTACAGAGGTGGATCCTTGAGGTTCTCAACAAAGATTTGCTTAACAATTTCGACCTAAAAGAGAATAAAATATTGCAAGGAATCCTTTTCTTACTGCTTGTCTATGATGGCTGTCTGATACACAGCACAAGTTCTGAAGCTAATTCCAGCAGCAGGATAAAAATAATTATTTTGTCTTTATTTCTCTATTTTGTAGAACTGCCATTATTTCAGCAAGTTCTGTAAAATTATGTTTCATTTTTAAGATTAATTTTCTTTGAAATATCAAGAAAACAGGTGATACAAAAAGCTTCCCAACATACATTCTAGCCTTCCAAAGTTGATGCATGACATCTTCTGATCATATCACGAACTTGATCATGACAAGAAAGCTGTAAGGTATAAAATATCCATTTTCTCAGGAAGGTTGAGCTGCTGTTTACAAGGTGCAGGAATAGCCACAAGCCTTGCTGCATTCAGAGCACCTTCCTGTTCCCACACAGTGTCTCACATATACAGATGTGCCCAACATTCCAGCAAATTACCCAGACTATTTCTCCAACTTGGTCCCAAAAAAGGAGAGCAATTACCATGTTTATTTATAAAAGTTTTCAGTCTTTTACACAGTAAATGACACCACACAGGTATTTAGACATACACAGGTTTATGATTTTCATTAGGTAAAGAACTTCATGTAGTGCATAAGAAATCCCTAAATTGAATACCTCTTTGCAATATTGCTCCAAAACAACACTGAACTTTTTCATGAACTGCTTATTAATAGTTTCAGGAATCTGGAGACGTTTGTACTTTAACAGCATGTCAAAAGCAGTTTCTGCTGATCGAAGGGTTGTAAAAGATTCATCAATAAATCTTGTCATCTTTTCTTCAATATCCTAAACAACAGAAGAAAGCAAAGAAACCCTGTCACTTAGAAATTCATCCTGCAAAACCAAGAAAGGGTGTCAAAATGAAAATACTTTTTAATAACAGCAGTCAAGCTTATTTTTACTATTTTTTTTACTTTTTTTTTACTATTTTACTATTTTTTTACTATTTGGCAATCGCAGTGTATGGTACCTACCACAACATCTTCTCTAAATTCTTCCATAACGAATGCCCAGTCACGTGCATTTTCCATGCTCAAAGGGTCAAAGGTCAGGTCTTCCATAGGACTAATCACTATATTTACTTCTCTCTGTAGTTCATCAACACCCTTTGGATTTTCTGTCACAGTTATCAGTTCAGGAATAAATATATTGTGAAGCTCTTCAGCGACCTATTCATTCAGAAGAACATACCATAAAGCTTTCTTTTTAATATTTTTTCTGCCACTGAACACATTATTGTTAAATTTTTCCTTTAAAAAAATATCAGCCACTCAGAGAATGACCAGTTTGTGCTGTGATTTAAATTTCAAATATTTCAATATGAGACACTGAAAAAACCACAGCAACAATCTACAAGCCCAATACTTCAGTTGTTATAACAGATAATACTCAGTCATTAGTCCTTTTCACTCCACTTTACACAGTTTATTGATTGTCCATAATGCTAATTACCCTGACTTAAATTAGCCTAAACACAGCATCTCTCCATTCATAGGTTATTCTGCATTAATCCACAGATTGACAGATGGCTACATTTTATATTATAGTATACTTAAATGGTATTTTATCTACCTCATTAAGGTGGTAATCCATGAAAATGACAAATGTGTGAACCAGTTGCTGCAAGTCTCTTATGTTCACACCATGTACACAGTGGCACACTCCCCAGCCAGTACCTGGAGTAAAGTTAATCCACTTCCAGCATTAAGTGCAGTTTTGTTGAAATCAAAGGCACCACTCAGGTCTCAAACACAAAACTAAAAGTTGTTAACAAGTCTACACCTACAACACAAAAGAATCTTCTCTACAGAAGAAGACAGTGATTAAAAAATTTCTTTATTTATTGTCTCTATTCCTACCTGAAAAATATAATACAGATCTTGACAGATTGAAACCATATAATCTGTTTTTTCAAATAAACGTTTCACATCAAATTTCCAGTAGCGCTTACTTCCTGACTCTTCAACTTGGATACAAGTAGTAAAATAACATTTTTTCCATTGTTCAAGAGTGTTTTTGGCTTCTGTTATTTTCTTTTTTGCAGCAGTTGTGTCTTGTCTATTAATCAAATCAAGACAGTTAAGATAGTATAGATAGAAGTACTATAGATGAAAAAATCATATCTCAACTGGAATAATATACCCTGGTTTAGCAGCTTCTAACTACACAAGATCTAGGCAAAACTTTTAACTTATTTTCAATGTGATTGTGAAAGAAGATATTATTTGAGGAGTGATTTTGGTTACATTTATGCCACTTTTTTACCTCTTTCTATTTGTTTTATTGGTTCATGTTCTTTCAATACAAAAGAGGAAAAGAACCTATATCTTCAGGGCTGATTTAGTAACTTACGAAAAATTACAAAGTAAATTTACTTTTAATTGACCTTCTAATACAACTTCAGATGGTTGAAAAATACAGACACCTCTTTGGTGGAAGTATCATCTACTGCACTTTGTGGAAGACAAGCAAAGCTTTTAATAAATACAGCCCAGTTAAAGAGAAACCCAGCACTTACTTAAAGAGAGTTTGCAGGTCCACAACTCTGCGCACTCTTTGGGAAATCTCCCAGGAAATTCGTTCCAAGAAGGGCACCATGCGTGCATCCTCGTTGTAGTGCCGTGACATGATCCACACCAGCCTCAGGGCATTCAGCAGGGAAGGGATATATTCAGGACTGATTTAGTAACTTATGAAAATTACAAAATAAATTTACTTTTAATTGACCTTCTAATACAACTTCAGATGGTTGAAAAATACAGACACCTCTTTGGTGGAAGTATCATCTACTGCACTTTGTGGAAGACAAGCAAAGCTTTTAATAAATACAGCCCAGTTAAAGAGAAACCCAGCACTTACTTAAAGAGAGTTTGCAGGTCCACAACTCTGCGCACTCTTTGGGAAATCTCCCAGGAAATTCGTTCCAAGAAGGGCACCATGCGTGCATCCTCGTTGTAGTGCCGTGACATGATCCACACCAGCCTCAGGGCATTCAGCAGGGAAGGGATGGCATTGGAGATAACATCAACCCCAGTGCCAGTTGATAAATTCTATGAAATGCATATTGTGGGTAAGATGTCATGGAAACATACAAATTCATATTCAGTAAACTAATGTTTGTTTTGTAAATGCATCAGGTTATGAAAGTCTGTAAGATTATTAAATAAATAACCTGGACAAGGAGACATCCTGCTGCCTAAATAATATACATGGTTAAAGATGTGCAAATCTGCACCTTTTCCTCCAAATGATTTTAGGTCCTGATTTTAAATTTTGGCTCAACTCTTTGTTTGGATGATCTTCAATACAATTTAAACTTTGAAACATCAGCTGTAATTTGTGGAAACTACCTAAAAAAATGGAGTAGAGAAATCTTTGTTTTCTCCAGTTCAGCTATGCCATCAAAACTCCCAAGACTGGACTACAAACCAAGTGCTCACAGCTCTGAGCTTTCAAACATTAGAACCATTGAAACTCATACAAAATAAGCACCCCTTCTTAAAAACTAAATATAACTTCTTAATCTAGAGTATATCTTTATTACTGCTAAAAAGTGAAAAAATAAACAAGAGATGATTACAGAGAAACCCAACCCAGGTAAATACAGTTTAAAGTTGACCAAGTTTTCTCAAGGGCAGGTACCTTCAAATGGCGTTCGAGAGTTGAGAGAAACTTAGCATTATCTTGAGCTTCCATGTGATGCTTTTTGAGGTCACTTAAGACTATCTGTAAACCTCCAGTAAACTCAGATTCAGCTTCCTGTAGTATTTCCAAGACTTTTTGCACCTCTGGAAGCTTTAGCTGTTCAGTAAGAGCCCTTAAAGTAGCATTATTTTCATGCCAGAGGTTAATCTCTGCAAGTGGACCATCACCCTACAAGTAATGTGGAATCAAATACAAAAAGATGAATTACCATTATGCAAGAGTGAATATTTATAATCAGGATTACATTTGTTCCTTCTTTTCAATAAATGCTGAGATAAACTTGATATGATTCAACCATGTAAAAAGTCAGAGAGAAGAAGACCATGAAATAAAGAGTTATACACCCACTGAAGGGAACTGCTTATGGGGAGTGTATGCCTGAGCTTATGGCTTTTGCACAGGTAACTTTATAGACATAAAATCCCTCAGTGTGTTTAGTGGTATTCGTTATACATATGTTTGCAGACTCAAAACCTGAAAATAAGGATTTTTAAATTTTTTTGAGATCACTTTTTTTTGCAAAAAAAGAAAAAAATATAGCTATTTTTAAAAAAGAAATTACTCAGTTGAGCTTTTAGGTTTTTTTGCTCTTTAGAAGAGAGCAGATAACAAAAGTCCCTTAGTTTTCCACAGTTATCCTGTGTGGGTAGGATCTGCAGTGAATTACCTCATCTTTTATTTATATTCTACTTCTCAGAGCCACACAGTTCCTCACTACTTTTGTTCTTCTTTTCAAGAATCAGTAAATGGTCTTCCAACAATCAAACATGAAGAGGAATTAAAAATTAACACGGTTCTTGTGGGGAAATGAAGCAAAGTCTCCAGGAATAAAAGCATCTTGGTGTTACAGGCAACGTTACCTGTGGAACCTTTTCCAGTTGTTCCTTCAGAACTCCAGATATTAATTTCTGCCAGGTCATTGCACAACGTTTCAGAGACTGAACCACTCCTGGAACTGTGGCAAGAACTGCCACTTCTCTATCTAGATTTACAGTGGGCATCTCCAGTTTAAGATGTTCTGTTGGAAGAAAATGCACACAGAATGAACTGTCTTGTTCTGTCAGCATTGCTAACATGGCACCACTGGATACATCTACCCCCTCTCCTACCCTTACTCCAAACTCTTTGAAAGACTTATCACTGATTTCATCCATTTCTCCATGCAGCCTGCTATGCTTCAGAGTGGGAAAAGCACAGCTGGTACCAGCAAAGAGCAGCTTTAATCAAATCTATTTGTTATTCTGCATAAAGCTGCTCAGGTGAACCTCGTTCTGCTGCCACGTGCTCTAATCACCACAGTGCTGGCAGAGGCAAAACATTCACCTCACCTGGTATGCTCAGCTGAGTTTCACTCCCCATTAGAGTACTAGAGTCCTCCACTGACTTTCTAGGTTCAGTCTCAGGTAATTTCATTTCTTCAGAATCTGTGTTTTCACTGTCTGAATCAAAGGAAGTTTTCTCAGTCTGCGGCTGACCATGGGAGAGAGCTGGTGAAGACTGCTAGGATTGAAACAGGTGCCACCGATTAGATGGTTCACATTAAAAAAAGCTTACAAGCAATTCACTTAACCATTGGATATTAAAAAAACCTTACAAGCAATTCACTTAACCATTAGATATTGTTCTTAAATTTAATTTAAGTGTGTCTCCTTCCATTTCACATCATTCTCTATGCCTCAAGTTCTGCAGGGGAATAGCTCCAGCATGCCTTTATGAAAGTCAGTGAGCACAGAACTAGAGGTGTCTGGTGTCACACCCTTAAATGATTCTCAAATAGGGGGGAAAATGGGAAACAAAATATCAAATAAGCATTCACAAATGCTTAATTTTGGCATAGGAAGGTCACTTATTAAATATTAATATTTCTTATGAATAATCCATATAATACTTAATAGCCAAATCACTCCTAGATACACTCAAGTTTTCATATATAAAAGCTGTCACTCATTTACCTGTGAGATGGCATTCTTTAGCATCAAGAGAGTATCATCAGTCAGCATGCCAGACTTTATCACTCGAGGAAGAATCTCATTAGCTTCAGTCAGGTCTTTAGGTACAGCAACTGTTTCTAAACAGTATACAAAAAAAAAGTAGTATAAATCTAATTAATTGATACAGATAGTGTAAAGTAATTTTCATAATAAATTAAAACTCCAATAAAACACTACTAGGTTTGGTGCAAGTCATCTTCAAAACTAGTGCTGGTTTTAATAGTGTAAATGCATCTTCAGAAAGGGCAGAAAAATACTTCAGCATCATCAGCTGGTTCTAAGTATTTACAACCCAACCTGATAGTCAGAAAATAGTTTTCTATTCAAAAGAACAGTGGGTTGATTTGAACTCTTACTCTACAGACAGAGGAGGAAAATCTTGCACAGAAATACTGTTAAATGACAAAGCATCCCCAGCCCTGGCTCTGAGTGTTTTCACACCCAGTTAAGTAAGTTGGATGTGCACTATCCTGAGTCCCCGTCTGTATCATATCTTCACAATGGAAAGTGCTGTTTAACACAAAACTGAAAACGCTGAGGCTGCAGTTCTTCAGGGCACATACCTTTGGTGTCTCTCAGAAAATACACAGTAGAATTTGACACAAACTCTTCGGGAATTTCATTAAAAGCCACACAGAAACGCTCACTCGTGCCACCTGCAAGCGCACAAATGCAAAATGGGAGGAAAGCATGATATAACACTGCAGAGGGATGATGCAAATCCCACAAATAGAGGGGACAAAATTCTAGAAATGGGTGGGATGAAAGGGATTCAGGAGAACACAGCCCAAGGGATGGAAAGGCAGGAAAAGGGGTAAAAATAGGGATCAGGAGCTGCGACTCAGCAGATGGGACGAAGAGGGGTTTGAGGGAGGGGGAAAGAGGTAGCTGGGGACAAGCAGTACCAAGGGAGAACTCAGCGGGTCGGAGCAGGGGGACCCTCTGCATCCCCTCCTCACCGGCCGGGCCGGGCCGCTCGGCCCGCAGCAGCAGCAGCGCCGTGCCCGCCCCGCTCGCATCCTCGCCGCCCTCGGCAACAAGGCCGAAGAAGCGCAGCACCAGCCGCGCATCCTCGCCGCGGCTCAGCAGCTCCTCGAAAGGCGCCGGATCGCTCAGACCCAGCAGGGAGAGCGCTCTGTCCCGTAGCCACCGCAGCCGCACGTCGTCCAGGCTCATGGCGGCAACCGGCCCGACGCCTCCCGGTGGCCACGGCAACGGTGCGGGGTGGAGCGATGGCTGCTGCCCGCCTTCAGCCCGCTGCGGGAGGCGCCTCGAGAGGCTCCCGTACAGAGCCCGCCCCGCGCTACCGCCTGTCGCGGGCGCTCCGTCTCAACACCGGCCGCGCTGCCTCCCCTCGGCACCACCCGCTCGTTCCCGTCCACAGCGGCCGCCCCTCACGGCCGGGCCCGACGCCTCCCGGTGGCCACGGCAACGGTGCGAGGTGGAGCGATGGCTGCTGCCCGCCTTCAGCCCGCTGCGGGAGGCTCCGTGCCCGCCTCGGGAGGCGCCTCGAGAGGCCGTGCTCCCGTACAGAGCCCGCCCCGCGCTACCGCCTGTCGCGGGCGCTCCTTCTCAACACCGGCCGCGCTGCCTCCCCTCGGCACCACCCGCTCGTTCCCGTCCACAGCGGCCGCCCCTCACGGCCGCTCGTTCCCCTCAGTGTCCGCCGCCCCTCACGAGCGCTCGCTCCCCTCAGCACGGGCGGCCCCTCACGAGCGCTCGCTCCCCTCAGCACGGGCCGCCCCTCACGAGCGCTCGCTCCCCTCAGCACGGGCCGCCCCTCACGAGGGCCCGTTCTCCCCGGCACCAGCCGCCCCTCACGGCCGCTCGTTCCCCTCAGTGTCCGCCGCCCCTCACGAGCGCTCGCTCCCCTCAGCACGGGCCGCCCCTCACGAGCGCTCGCTCCCCTCAGCACGGGCCGCCCCTCACGAGGGCCCGTTCTCCCCGGCACCAGCCGCCCCTCACGAGGGCCCGTTCTCCCCGGCACCCGCCGCCCCTCACGGAGGGCCCGTTCTCCCCGGCACCCGCCGCCCCCCACGAGGGCCCGTTCTCCCCGGCCGCCCCTCACGGGAAAAGCGGCGCCTAACGCAGGGAAAAGGGCACGGACAAACACAGGGCCCGCTAGGCACAGCGCAAACGAGGCTTTATTGGGAGTTCGTATGAAACAAGTGCAAAATTTAATTTGTGCTGTTCGTATGGCACAGATGTTAAAATATCATGGCAATATCCCCATTTTCACACTGATATAAAAATAATAAAAAACGACCCCTGTCCGCCTATGCAGTATAAATTAGGTTCTACACTACCAGGGAGTGCTGTTTGTGTGTCCTTAGAGCCAAACAGAAACAGGGATCGAGGCCAATTCTTTATTCCATGTGCAAAAGTTCTTCCTCACTACAGGGGAAAAAAGAGGAGTAATACTTGTAAATCCTGCCTTCTTCCATAACATTAAATATAAGTATCAGTGTGACTTCCAAAAGCTTAAAGTAATAACTCTAAGCAGAACCCAGAATGAAGAGTTAACATTTCCAGTGCAATTTTAAATATGGCCAAAAAAGAGCACATTGCATTGGTGTGTATAAATTTACACTTCATAATCATCTTGGAATACAGACTGAAAACAGACATTGCTTCTATTGCATTGTTGAATGGTTCCCAAAGTGCACAAGATGCAGCTGGCTTAAGTATGTGATTAGTAATGAATGTTTAATATAATGAAAAGTCTTTCAGATAACTTAAAAGTAACCATTCAAGAAAATAAAGAGACTCAAAAAAAAAATGCCTACATGGCTTTCAGGACAAGCAGTAACAACTTTTTTTTTAAGAATAAAATTAATTTACAACATTAGTTTATCAAGAAAAATGTACATTTCATATCTATATATTTTACAAGATGCTCCAGATCTGCTATGTCTTTCTACGGGAGGTATGTTTTACAGAATTGTTTGGCTGCATTATAAGGCAATCAGTGAAAACCACTTTGTTCCACAAGAAACCATTCATAGGCAAGATCCAATCACAGTTACTTGCAGACAATTTCAAACATTTCTGCTGACAGCAGCCAAATTATAATGCACCATCTTTATTAAAATGTAAAGAAATGTGCTTAAAAGAGAAAGGCGTAAACTTGTATCCTCCACCGGAGTAGAATTTGTTCTGAAATTCCACCCTGAAACGAGACAAAAAAACAGAATCTGTACATGAATCCAAAATTAGTTGTCAAGGGACAGAATTGTGCAACCCAAGAAGCTGAGCAAAACCAACTGCAGTCCTCTCACTTGTTTTCTGTGCAGCTATTTAACCTTCCCATCGCAGTCCCAGGCTAACTTTATCATTTTTATTGTTTAACTCCTGTTTCTCAGGAGACCCACGGGCACTAAACCGGGCTGTAAAGGTTCATTTCTTACTTCTGGCTTTCTCATTTGTTTCCCAGTGAGTTGCAGCCAATTGTTTTGCAAACGTGCAATATCACGAGGACAATCTGTCATGTACGTTGCTCCACCTCCTGACTTTGGACACTAGACGCCTTTGTTTAAGCTGTAAATTTCATCAGATTTCAAACTAAACATGCTCTGAATCCACTCCAAAGTGCAGAGCTTGTGATACCAAGACTAAGAAAGGATTAAAATACTTAAGGGTTGGCAGCCCCACTCATTAATATATATGTTCTGTTGAGCCAAATAAACAGACTGAAACTATACAGTGAGATAACCAGACTGAAATTAAAAATGCTTATCCAAGTTACTAATATTCTACATTATGAAAAGCTGCAATACTACAAATCAAATGTATTTCTATTTTGTGAATGTGGTTGAAGGTAAAATGCATCATAAGCCAACATAATATTTGAATCTATTGAAAATATTCCAGAGGAACAATCAAATCCAACTAATAAGCCATTTATTTAATTTAATATAACTAAATAAATGTATTTCAGCAGCAACGAGGCTGTTGAATTTTACACTTTTCCTTTTTAATAAGGTTTATAGAAAAAGAGAATGTACCAGTGAAGTCGTATAGCATGGAGAAAAGCAGAAAGCCCCTCCATGACCAGCAGAATAAAAACTGTCAGCACAGCAAAGAATGCCATCACAGGGATTAGCAGCAGGACACCGTACTTCGTATCCACACGCAGACCCACTCTCATCACCATCTGCCACAGAACTTCTGATAACTCTAATAAAAACCAAAAGTTGCCATAATTAATGTTGGTACTGAGTGCCTTTACCCACTGAGCCACTCTAACCTGCTCATTTAACCAGCAGAAGAGAACCTGCTGAACATGGGAACTATAAGCAACCCCCTCCCCAGAGAGCTGCCCCCATCCCCTCAAATGTTTAAAGATACACCTCAGTGTCAAAATCAGACCTACTGCGAGCAGTATTTTACATAAAGTCAGTTTTAGTTTGGAGGCTTCCATAGATCATGATTAGTTGAAATAGGGATTTTTTTTTCAATTAAAAAAAAAGTGTATTTCATACTAGTACCAATGGAACAGGCCAGCCTCCCTCTAACAGCATTAAAAATACAGATGAAGGGAAAAAAACCCAAAAAAATATCAAAATCCCACCCCCACTTACGTGCATGAGCAAGACTTAATGCCCAGAGTCTCAGGTATGAGGCTGTGTTAGAGATGCATCCCAGACAGTATTCAATGGTATGAATTGCTTGATTCATAAAAACATCTGAAAAGTTCAGCTAAAAGATAGAAATACATTTGTATCCATTTTAACAACACAGAACAAAACATGAGAAAACAAAAACATTCATCTGCAAATCCTTATTACATGGAAGAAGAATTCCAATGAAGGTAATAAATTGATTTTATGTCAAGTAAAAAAAAATGTGCCATGCACAAGATCCTTATTATAGAGATAACATTAAAACAAAAATCAGATGTTATGGTTTTCCAGTATTACCCTGTTGATAGATAGAAACAAATGCAATTTATGTTTTCCACAAGAAACATGATCTAATACTTGAAAACTTGAAGTGCCATAACCAGCCATGGTTCTAATTCCCATTCTATTAAGGTTCTAAGTTTACAATATCAATTTGTTAATCTTTAAAAGCAGGGGTAATTATCAGTAATGCTACTGATAGAAAGATAACCACATTAATAATAAGATCTAAAGATCTTATTTAAGATCTAAATAGAAATACTTGTTACTAACAAAGAGTTTCAAAACTGGTATTACTGAAAATTTCAACACTTTGTATAATACATTTTGAGTAAATAATTCTTGTCTTTTCTATACACAAGAAACAAGAGTCTACTACCCCAGTGAGACAAGAACTATACATATTCTGCACATTAGGAAGCTGAAGCAATTCTTTGTCTTTCAATTCACATGGAATCAGTGGAATCTGCCCAGACCTTTAAAAATTTGCCCAAACTAAACAGCAGCAGTGGGTGGGGACTAGGAATGCTGCCCCAACCCTCATTAGTAATAATCCTCATAACAAGATGTAATTTGCAGACACAGAAAGACTTTTGTCCAGCTGAAAAGCCAAGATTAATGAACAGGAAGCTGGGCAGTCACCACCTTGCCTCAAGTTTAAGAATCCATAAAACCAGACAAAACCCAGGATTTTTATCCCACCCTTCAATATAAGAAAACCTGTACTCCTAGATGCAGAGTCTTAATTGCAAATAAAACACTCTTTCTATTCTCTGCTACAGATGGGTTGTGGTTTACTGTAATAGTCTGAAAATACCAGAAAATAATGATAAAATTGCAACAAATAAACTCTAAGTAAACTGCATTTGGGCACCAATGTCTTTGTAAAGGCTCAGCTGAGTTTCTTCAAAATTGCTCAGCATGAAGTGTACAGGTTATCTGTTGACTGCCCACTTCTAATTTGCTTTTAAGAACATAGAAACCAGAGATTAAGTAAAAACATTACCTCCTCTGCATCCCCCTCTCTGTGCCCGCTGTCTGAGTGAGTGACACCTTCTTCGAGATCATGACATGACAGGAGACAAAGCTCCTCTTCACTTTCTTTTCGGATAAGCTTGTAGCCACTCTGCAAAATGGGAATGTATTGTCTCTTCAAGCAGGCTGCCACTGTCATTTTCTAAACTTACTTAAAGTAGTTGCAGGCAAAGGCAAAAAGATTTAGAGGAACGAAGTACTATTATGTGTTTCAGTCCAAAAATTTCCAAACTGAGCAGA